GGCGGCGGCGGCCGCGCGGGCCTCCCGGCTCCATGGGGCGCGGGAGATGGGGGCGCGGGGCGCAGCAGGGACGTGGCAGCCCTCGCGGCGGCCTCCTGCCCGTCGTCCTCGGGACAGCGAAGTAAATGTCAGCCCCGGCTGCTCCGGGGGGCCCGTCCGGCAGAGGGGAGTGACTCCCCGGTGCGGGGCGTGGAGGGCCCGTCCCGTTCTTTCTCGCCTCGGCCCGAGCAACGGCGCTTCTGGAAAGCCGGGCGGTTCCTCGCGCTCGGCCCCGTGAGGGCCGGGGCGGCCCGGAGGCTCCGCGTCGCGGCTGCTGGTTACAGGGGATATAACCTGGATAGAGGGGATCCCCGAAGGGGATAGGGGGGATCCCCGAAGGTTGGGGCTCGGTAAGAGCCTCCCAGAGGAGAGGTGAAGCTTGGCCAGGTGAGTCCTGCCGTAGGTGCGAGGTGAGTCCTGCCGTAGGTGGTTTCCTCCTGAAGGAGGAACCAGGACAGGCTGTTTCTCCCTTCTCCCATTCCGGAGCTGTTGGGCTGCGAGAGCGACGCCGAGTGCCGTGGGGATCCCGCGGAGGAGAGCAATGACCTCCCGGCAGCCGTGGTCACAGGGCAGGGAAGTGGGAGGCTCTGAGCCGGAGGAAGGAGGAGGCAAGAGGAGAAGTTTGGGAGAAAGAGAGAGGGGAAACCAGGCCCAGGGATGGGGCGCTTGGGGGCAGAGCTTGGGGCAGACACTTTCAAGGTGCGGGGAAGGGGAAGATGAAGTGTCAGGTGGGTCTGCACGGGCCCTGCCCCCAGGTGTCCCCCAGGCGCAAACCCCTGGGGCATCTGCGGTGGACCGGGAGGAGGACGGCCAAGGAAGCCGCGGAAAAGACTGCCAAGAGACATTACGGAGGCTCCATCAAAAGGCATTTTAAAGGAAAGATCAGCTGCACATCTGCTGTCAGGAATCAGTCTTGTTATGCTGAATAGTTTTTAGCATTTTTAGTATTAACCTCCCCATTGCCCATGGAGCCGACGCACTTGACACGCAGCACAAGGGAACTCATTTTCCTGCTCAGTCAACACTTACTTCAGTGATTAAAAATTTAACAGTGACTGAAAGCAACAGGACAAAGCAGGGAGTTGCTTTTGGAGATATTCCTCTTTCTTCTGACCTGAAATGTRGGCTATTAGCCTCTCCTTCACAGTGACTGGAAATACTGTGCATGAACCTCAATATTTGTAGTATGTTTTAGCTTGATTTAAGTCCTATAACTTCAGGAGAGACAGACATTATTTAATTTTATTTAATGATCTCATGTTGCTAAAATCTGTTATCATGCAAGATTATTTTTCCCAGTCTCATATTTTTATTTCTTTTTATTACTCTTTCTTTGGAGAGAGATTTTGATCTATAGCCTTCTTGAGCTGGGTACTGTAAAATAAAGAGAAAAGGAAAGTCTCTGTCCTACAGAGCATACAGTTCAGTAGCAGATGTGATCATGTATTTTTATGAAAAGTGACCTCATTCTCTTCTCCCTTTTGCAGTAACTTTCAGCAATGCAGAGGGTTGGTAAAATGAGGCCATAACCTCATTTTGTGTGTGCTTTATAAAATACCTAAATTATGTGTGAGATGGATGAGAAATAGGCTGAAGTTATTTCTTTATGAGTTTTCTGAAGCTAACTTGCTCTCTCCTCAATAGTCAAGTACTTCTGTCCTGATTTGTCTCCAAGCACTGAGCAAAAGACACAACAAGGCAGGCCCCGATTTTGGAGTGCTTGGTCACAACGTAGACAATTTGTACAGCACTAGAACCGAGAGAAATACTCACATAAAAGCAGCATTATTTTTTCCTGTGATTCCAGAAGCAGAGATGACAAGGCTATTAATGAGGCCTCCAAAAATGTTTAAGAGTCATGTTTGGATTTACCAGTTCATTTCAACAGCTTTATCTGCTATTGCAGAATTTGTCAAAAGAGCAGCAACAGCAAAAATATATACGCTGGCATTTTGTTGCGGTATTTCAAAAGAGTGTTCTTAAATATGAAAGTTTCCAAGTATAACTTCCAAACTGCTTGAATCATTTATTGTTTTTATTATTTTTGAACAAAGTGCTAATAACTGAGGCCAAGACTTCCAGAAATTATTTCCCAGAGCTATTCTATCTCAGTCCATATTTAGGCAGCCGAAGTAATGAAGCTGCAAAAGTTTAATAAGATTTTGGCATCTGGCTGATATTTGTATATTTGAAAACTTTTTCCAGGATGAAGAAATATGCAATGTGTATGGATACATTGCATATGTAATTCAGGCAACAACTTTTTATTCTATTTTCTTCCTTTTTCTTTGCTTGAGATTGATCCTGATTAACAATACATGTAAAGTTTTATCATTTTTTGTCTTCCCTAGATTTATTTTTTAAATCATCTTTATATCCTATAAAGAACACATTACAGGGAAGAAAACATATTGATAGGAGATGTATTGTTGATGTTAGCTTTGCTAATTCTATTTGCTGCATCATTGAAAATAAAAACATTTAAAAGTTTTTGAAAGCCAGTAGGTTTTCAGTTACTGAAATAACTGAAATAAGTTACGACTCTCAATATCATGYCTGTCCCAATAGGGAAGTTCTGCCGAAAGACGCTGTATAAGGTTGGGGCCTGGGTATCCATTTCATTGATTTGACATTCACACCATTTTAATTTTAATATTCTCTTTATTTGAAAATGATGCTTCATGGCTGTTTATCTCCTTATGTGCTAGAATCACAAGCTGATTTTCCAAATACATTGACCACCATAACATCTCTAAGGTAGAAAATACTGTGCTAATTTTGCACATCAACAGGCTGAAGTGTTGAGAGATCAAGTGATTTAATCCAAAGTGTGGAAGCAACTGGAGTGCCTGCAATGTTTACTGCCCAACCCAGCTGGTCTGACACCCTTGAACAGCCAAGCAACAGCTTTTTATAGCTTAGATAGATACTTCTAAGCAGAGAGGAAGTGATGGTTTGTCTTTTAGACAAAGGTTGCTAGTTTGGAGGGTTTTTTTTTCAGGTCAAATACAAAATGACTGCAAAGAGCTTTGCAAAGAAGAATAAATGCTTTGCAGTACCTGTGTCCTCTCTTAAATAATGGGGAAATGGGGAAACTTAACACTTCCATAAGACTCTAAAATAAATTTCCCCAAATAGAGCCTGAATCCTTCAGGCACATCAGAGATTCCTGTAATAGGAGGACAGATAAGGCACTGGCTCTGTTACAGGGATGACTGTATTATTAAAATGGATGCCCCTCAGGTGAGYGGATGAAACTAATGTCATATAAATTAGCTGTACAGATGGAAAGACATTGCTAGTTAGGATCAAACAGATTGGATTTACCAGAGTTAAGACCAAGGATGGATCATGACTCTGTTAAAGGGAYACCATCAAAAATGGACCCTTTCAGTCTTGTCTTCACCTAGTAAGTTACAGAGCTTGGCATTTTGCTGAGATTTTGTTCTTTCCTATCTCAGAAGCTGTGTCAGCAGCATAACTCTCTGTTCCTGATGCCTACCAAAGCGCAGCAAGAGGAATCACATCTCCAAGATAACACACGTTATTAGGCTCTTTTTCTTCCCYGTTGCTGACGAAGATGAGCTGGCAGGATGGAGAAAGTAGAGGGTATCTCTGGGTATCATGTGTAAACTGCTGGGGCTGTTACAAAGGAGCACCCAGTTGTTTGGTCTGKTTTCGTCAGCTGGCTTTGTCAGTGGCTCCGTAAGAATTGCTCAAGACAGTTGGGAGGGAACAATCCTCTGGAAATTACCTAATGGCCAAGGGTGCTTCTAGTGCAGCCTGACCTGAGGGAGGTGGAGTGAGCAAGCAGTGGGGTTTGTCCCAGAGTCCGCAGCGTGGCTTGCATTGCTGTACTCAGCAGGCAGCTGTTCAGGACTTTTTGCATTCTTGATGGTGTTGGAAGGAATGTCTATTAGCTACAGCAAGACAGCAGGAGTCAGGACCTGGCCATGGTATCATTTTAGTAGCTCACTTTCTTAAGTGTCTGTTTACCTATTCACAAAATTTCCTCCCTATTTTTGGATATCTGTGAATAAATGGAGCCATATAAAATCAAAGACTTATTATTTCTGAKTCATTTATATGTTTGCTGGCTTTTATTTACAGTCTATTATGATTATTTTGAGTATTTTCATTTGGAATTAAAACTTGTTTTTTCTTTTACTGAAGACCCGGTCTTTGCTTAGCGTATTTGAAGAAGATGCAGGAACCCTTACCGAATATACCAACCAGCTGCTTCAGGCAATGCAGCGTGTCTATGGTGCTCAGGTAATTCTTCATTTGTGTTGCTTTTGTTTGATGCTTTTGTTGCTTAGCAGTAGAAACTAAGTTGCTTTTGTGATGCTATTTACATGACTGAGACTGGTGCCAAGTACCTGCACTCCCTTGCAGAGGAGTTATGGGCGTTTTCCATCTGACAACTCAGCACCTTCCTACCTTGGTGTTCCAGAGAGTCATTTCTTTGGAAAACAGTCTTATCTGTTGGTCTGTTCTCAAACAATTGATAAAAGAAAAGATGTGTGTAGTATATTGGAAAGCGAATGCTTAAAAATTGCCTGCCTATAGACACGATTCACAGAGGGATATTCACTCTGACTTCAGGCATCTAACTCAAATGCTTGATTCACCATATAGAAGCCGCTGTCTGTGTCCATTGATAACAGAAAATAGACTCCCTGAGTCCTGATGAAATCAGGTACCTAAACTAGGCAATGTGGAAAGTGTGGGAGTGGGAAGAAGGTAACAATTTCTAAAGCATTTAAAAGGCACAAATGATTAAATCCTTTTGAAAATAAAACCTGTTAGGTAAATTACATGCAATACTTTGGAAAGTGTTGTTATAAATCTGAGTGCTTTTCAGTGAAGCTAGGATTCCCATGTGCATAAGGCTAATTCAGAGCCCCATATCTAGGTCTTTAATGACATAGACAATATGTCATGGAATTTTTGCAACCATTTAGGTAGGTTAGGTACTTGATTTCCATTGAAACCACAGTTCTTAAACGAATAAGTTTAGGCACTAGGAGTGCCTGGTTCTCATTTTACATTATCAGAAATCAGTTCAGCAGTAAACTAGTGTGTGTGCTTGGTGGGRTTGTTCTCTGGGGTGGCTGGTAGTGTGACGTTGGAGAAGGAGCAGCCTGTCAAAAGTCTGGCTACCTGCAACTGGAAGATCCAGCTCTAGTCTCTGTCTTTTGGGCCCGGAGCAAATTGCAGAGCGGTCAGTGTCCGGGCTACATGTCCCTCTCCTCTGGTAATGCCTTTTTAGGATGGCATTTTAGGAAGCAGGTCTCTGGCCTCTGATTCATGAAGAAGTGCTTTGTCTGCTCTTGTGTGCCCCTTCCTTTCCATCTCAGCTTTTAGCCTTCTCCATTTGTGTTTCCCCGCAGTTTATGACATTTCCTATTTCTTTTCCCTGCCTCAGCCTATTGGCCTATCTGGGCTTTGCAGTACTACTGAGTCTTCTTCATTTGGCCAGCACTTCTCGTCCTCTTTATTCTTACACGCTTCCTGCATGCGTTTGATGGAAATTTCAGTCACTTCTGGATTTTAGGTGTATGCCTTGAAATATCTCATCAGTCATTTGCTTCCATTTTGAGAGGGGAGGCACTTGGCAGTTGTTTAAATACAGACTTGCTAAAGGTGTGGAGGTTGGCACCCTATATTATGAGGGACTTGGGAAAATTCAGGTCTACTGGCCAATGTTAGAGACTTTACTGAGGACATTGGCTGAACATCTAATGTGCTCAGTAATGCTACTGCTGCTGTCTTAAAATTCTTTGGGAGTMAACTTCACTCTGGACTCATGTTCTCAGGACCCAGAACTGTAGTAGCAAAAAGGACATTACATTAATTATAAATAGATCGTATTTGTGGTGTAAATGGAAAAGAGAATGGCCTTTTTTTCATATGTGCTTTAAAAAGTAGTGGTTTTCTTGCATGAGATACAGAAGAAGAGTCAAATTTTGCTGTTGAAATAAGAAAATGAAACAATTCAGACAGATATGATTAATTCCTAAGAGCATGTTAGTGGTATAGGATAGCTAATATTCATTTCTGACTAATTTTTAATTTTATCAAATATTGCAAATATTAATATACCACTTAAAGAACTGTTTCTGCGTATTTCAAAGGAGAGCACTCCTTCTGCCTGAATCCAACCTCAATTTGTGAAATACATAACTCTTGTTACAAAATGCTATGATCTCTTTTGCCCTWGAAAAAAGGGAAGTGAAATACTGAATTGCCCACTAAGCATGAATAGACAGTTAAGAAAAATCAGTATGTAATATTTCCTTGCTGATTCCTGTCTATTCACAGCTTAAGAGAAAATCAATTTTTGCTCAAGCTGTGTTAGGAGACATGTTCTGTGGGCTTTGCTAACTGCTCATTAGGAAATGTAGGCAACCACTTTTTAGTTTGAAGGGCAGTGAGATTCACTAGAGGCARTGTGAAACTTGAGAGTAATGAGAGCCCAAGTTCTGAGTTTGGCTTTTTTAGTTTATGGGATTTTTTTTTTTTTCCTTTTGGAAAGTCGCTGGCGTTGACTAGTATTTATTTATCTGTAGAATAGGCATTACAGTGAGTGACCTACTTTGGTGACCTACTCTGTTTACATAGCTATAAAAATGGCTGTAATTGTGGCAGTCAGAGAAACCAGCCTTGTTGTGCAGTGCACAGTGTCAGAAATCAGGGCTTATGCCCTCTCAAAGTAGTTTAAAAATAATTAATAATTAAAACAAATCTTGATTTCTTTCTAACTGCACTCTGAACTAAATTTACCCAGGTGTGTCTGGAGATTTTCAAGACTTTCTGCAGAAGATTTCTGCAGAAGACTTTCTGAGTTCTCTGGAAAGAAATTCCAAATTTCTCTKGAAATTTTCAAGACTTTCTGCAGAAGTTTACTAGAAGCCTGATGTTTCTTGTGATGAGGGCTGGAATTTTCATGTAATTCAGACTACCATAGCTTATAATCAGATAACAAGTTCTCAATGGGTACAGTGCAAAGTCTCAGAGAAGCAGCTGTTAATAGCAGCTACAAGCTGGTATTTTTCCCTGTGGATCTAGGTATGTATGTGTCCCAAAACACTTTGTGTGCAGGACAGCAGCAAGTTTGTAAATTGACAGTCCAGAATCCTCTGAATACTCAGATAAATTATGGTTGAGATGAATGCAAGGAAGAATTTGCCCACAGCTTTTCAAAAACACTTTTAGGAAGGTGAAAACCCTTTTTTTGAAAGTTCCTTTTGCATCCCTCCTTACTTACAGAGTTTTGCTAGATGCTGGGCACCTCATTTTTAAGACTTCCACTTCCTGAGACCCAGCTTTGTTTTACATGTTTGTAGCCACATGCTAAGAGGCATGTGCAGTGTATGACCCTGTGGTGAAGGAGAAGGCCACGGGAGCCCAATGTCACACTTGGAGAGTGAAATTCAGCAGATCTGACAAGCCCATATGTGTAAATACAGAGAAACATTTTTATATTTGTTCATAAAATGAATGACGCCCTTGTGAAAATGTGTTACACTTCCTGCTTCAGGTCTGYGCTCCTGGCTCTGCTCTGCTCTGAGGAGTTGCTTTTTGTTGATGGTCTCATGGAAGAATATTACAGAGTTTGTTCTTGTAGCTCTCCCTCCCTGCAGGCCCTCATGTGGCATCTCATGTTACTCCTGTCTGATTTCTGTGAATGTTGTTTCCCTCTATCTGGTCATTTCTCCCCCGAGCGATAGGTATTGCAGCCAGCAGGGATTGTCACAAAACTTCATTAACTGAAGTTGCAGGCTGAGACTCTAGCAACGGGGTGTGAACAAGCCGTGCCCTGCTCCTGCTCGCATTCCTGACTTCCCACTGCCCGAGTAAATTATGTTTAGAGCTTCACCATCGTCTCCAGTCCTTCATCGAACTATGGGAGCAGCTCAGCTGAGATCCTCATTTAATGACACTAAATGCCATTTAAAAACTGAGGAGACTGTTGGATCTCTTTCTGGCTACTAGCAAAGATAACCTGGAAAGCGAATGAGAGGAATGTAAGGTGCAATGTGGTATCAGTGGGAAGAGGTTTCCTTTGAGCATTCCCGAAGGATCCAATAGCTCCTTTGAGCTATTACCAGCAGTGCAAGCAGAAGGGGCATTGAAAGAAGCCAGTCTTGCCCTCAGCAGCGTAGCCAGCGAGAGAACAACGTGGGGATTGTGGAGGGTGGTTGTGTTCAGCCCCAGTGTCTCTGTGTGCAGTTGTCCTGTGGTTCCATAGTCACGCGGGCCACGCGGCGTCCGCCTCTGGGCCTGTTCACACCAATCCAAGGGAAAAGCTCCAAAATTACTGCACATTGTATGTGCCGTGTGATACGGCTATCGGGGTAGCTCCTATGTGTCCAGGGCTCTTCCAGGTAGTGCTTTATATTATTTTTCCCCAGATTCATGACRCCTCCCTTCTGCATTTTTCAATGGTGCTTTTTTGTTGAATCTGTCTTTATATTGACTTTATTAGGCTACAAGTCAGGCTGAYTGCTGATAAACTGTCTGAGGGGCATACACAGATTTTTGTGTTTATTAGATTTGCACAGCTAACCCCAAGCGTTTGGAATTCTCAAGCTACTTCTTGCTAAAAGGACAAATAASCTCTGATACTGTATATTTTTTTAAGTGCATTTATTTTTAGGACTTAGGGAACAATTGTGATACCTCTTCCAAGTTTTTATTTGAAATAAACTTTGTTACATGTTTTGTAACAGAATTCCACATAGAGAAGCTTTTGTGGACTCTCARATAGGACAGACTTGCAGTAAAACACAGTAGTCAGTACTGACTTGGGTGAAGTGCTGAGTTTATACTTTATTGTTCCATAACCATTGAAAGTTTGCTGGGGAGCACTTCCTGAGGCTTATTCACCATATGCCACTAACAGAGGTAAACAGAATAATATATAGTAGATATCTAGTGTATTTGCAAAGCCATTGGAGTTCATTTTAATACTGCTGATGGAACTGGAGCTGTCAGCATGCGTGGCAAGAAGGTGACAAGCAGCAACCGGAGGCCCCAGTGCTACAAGGGGACCACAGTGTGTAAACACCCTACTAGTAGTAGTTACTTTGCAGGAAACTCTGAAGATTCTTTCCCTACTGACYTGGACATTGTATTGGAGCTGCCCTGGCTGTTTTACAGCAGACTTTTTGCTAGTGTCTCTTCTCTTTCTGAGCTATCGGATGGGCCTTTGCTGAGGCACTCGCACTGGTGAGCAGCGAGCGCAGCCTCGGGGCCAGCCAGGTGCTGTGGGGTCCTGTAAGATGCCTGCAGCCCCAGCCATGCTCGCCTTCTCCCACCCTGTGCTCTGCTCTTCAAGGCCTTTAGTCGGCAAACGTAAGCATGTAGGRCCGTAATGTGTTCCAGATGGCTGGAGAACTGCATATTCCAGGAAAATGACATGCACACATAAACAGAACTTCGTAAAATAGTCATCTAAGGACCCAGATCTTTGTTGTGCCTGGTTTTAAAGGTAAATGGGTTCTCTAGCTCCGAAACGATGAGAAGGCTCTAACTCCCTTGTGGACCTTCTTCAACCACCTGCCTTTTTCTTCATTATTCATCAAACATTAGGCTTACTGTAACATAAGCCACATTTTATTGCATGTCACTGTGCACATACAAGGTTCGGGTTATATACCTTTCTTAGTATGCTACTTGTTCACATGAAGAAACATTTGGCAGTTCTATGTGCTGATTACTTGCAGACTTTTTGAAGTGCTAGCTTTAGCTGAAGCTAAAGGAGGAAAGTAGCTTTGCAGAGAGCTTCATTATATTAGGATTGGACACGATGGAATAGCTCTGTGTCTTTAGAAGTTAATTTATAGCTCAGCTTAATCCTTCACATGCCTTCAAATCTGGAATCTGGTAGACAACTGTCCATAGAAATACCTGCTGACTTGGATAGCATCACATACAGAGTTTATTTAGGAAAAATACAACAGGAGACCCTAAAGGTAGCTGGAATATCCCACAAATAAATGGTTAATGCAATGGAGATTTTATTACAAACAAGTTCCAGAAAAGTCCTACTGTCTTCCATTTACACAGGCAGCTTGGTGAGTAAAGGTGATAGTGAGAAAGGTGGAATGAGCCCAAAAAAATCACATGCCTTTTGCTCTAGCACTAGATTAAAAAAAAAAAAGTTGCATATTTTTCTGCTGACTTTATTTGAAGGGAGAATGAGGTACTGAGTTAAGAATTCAACCAGATGTTTTCTAATCTGGTATTTTGTCGTGTATGTTAGATTAATGCTAGATTCAAGACCCCACGTTCTGTCAGCACTGCTGTGTAATCTGGTGTTAATGCATTGTTCAGAATCCATCCCTCTGCCCTGGGCGTGCTAGCCAAGATTGCTGTGTTGTTTTTAACTTTTCTTCTAACACAGGAATATGGCTGTGGTTGTAAGCTTATCATATAACTGTTTGATACCTGTTTCTGTCCAGTCTTTTCTTTCAGCCTTCCACTGTATTTTTTTACATTAATGCTGCAATGATGTTTTTGCCTGTTGTGTGAACTCATCTAATGAAAATGCATGTTTTTGCAAGGCCCAGGGGTAGTTAATGTTGCCTTTGTTCAGAATGCCTGGTTTTCTTTCAGGCTTTTAGTAGTTTCCAGTTGATAACCTGCCACTTAATAGCTCTCCCATTCTAGAAATGCTTGAAAACCCCTGAAATTTCAAAGCAAAGTGGAAAAGATTGTGTTGAACAGGCAGTCAGGATTATATAGTTTTTGGTTTGTTTTACTGTGGCTACTGAATTTTCAGGAAGCTTAGGATAAAAGAAGCTAATGTGTCTGGATTGGGTGGGAAAATATTTTGGGCATCCGTTAAAACCTGTTAGAGTGATTTTCCTGGATTCAGTGGATCTGTGAATTGAAGCAATGCAAATAACTTTTAAGTCTTAAGACTGATTAGTAGTGGGAGTAGAGGGGGAGGGTGAAGGCTGATTAGGAACAAATGGGAGGAGGATTAAACCAAACTTTCCCAGATTAAGTGTGTTTCGCAAAGCAGTGTTACTACTAGGTCAGCAGAGCACTTTGCTTCCTTCGTGTTCCCTGTGCCACGTAGCACATGTAGGACAAAATCTGGTAGAGGTTGGGAGAAAGGGAAAAAGACCCAGGATTAACTCTCTCACATGGGCTGGCGCGGTGTAGAAAGTATTTGTGCTCTCCTAAACATAAAGTACCCACCCAAAATCATGAAAATCATGAAAATCATGACCTGCCGGCATCAGTGTGGGACTGTTGTCCCCCAATCAGCCCCAAATTCTCMAGTAAACTTGGTATTAGGCCCTTCCATCGTTTCTGTTGGGTTTTGCTTTGTTTGTTTATATCTACAGTAGGACGCCGTGAACATCTGCTTGTGGTCTGGCTGTGGCTTTTGTCCCATGGTCATATGCTTGACACGGTGCTCTTAACTTGCACGCCCTTGAAGCCAAGAATCCTTGAAGCAGGATTTCTGTTTGCCCGCATCATCCCATCAGAATTCCAGAGGGACTTCCTGGGGAAGGGTGGTCATTAGTGGTGGCTTCCTCCACATGCCTCTCTGCACTGCCAGCCTGCCAACTGTCCCCTCGACAGGGGACAYTTGATGATGTAGATGAGTACATATATGTGCTTTATTACTCTTTATTAATTTATCGGATATCATGGCAGGATGAGGTGGGGTGGAGGGCACTGAAGATCTGGTAGTCTTAAAAAAACAAGGTGCTAGAGGGTTTCAGGATTGCAAGCATGAAGGAATAGCCTTCAGTGTCAGAGAGGTGTTCTAAAGCTTCTCTTCGTGTTAGACAGCTTAAGCCAAAAGCTCATTTTTTTTGTCAAAATCCATTTCAGGCTGCAGAGCTGCAGACTTTGCAGTAATAAGTGAACTGAAACAAAAAAAAGATTAAAAAAAGAGGCATGTTTTTAACTTTCAGGTTACTTTTGAAAAGTTTCCTCACCTTTGCTTGGCTATAAATCTGACAGCTGGGGCACAGGTCCTGTGTGAAGACTCTGCCTCTTCCTCTGCCTTTGAGGAGCTGCTCACGAAAAACACCCCAGGCCTGAGAACCTCCCTGCTCCTTTCTGTCCTCCGAACTCTCTTTGGACTCCACCCATGTGTGCACAAACACACACACCCTTTTAACCCCATTGCTGCACTTGGAAGGAGCCTCATCCTGCCTGTCATCAAGGGGTTGCTTGCCAGCTCCCAAAGTCTCTCAGGTGCCCTTGCTGCYTCGGGGCAGACAGCTAATGTCCCTTCCCCTTCCCAGCAAAGCTCCTGACAAGGTCCTTCAGCATCCTTCTCCATCCACCGGCTTGGGAAGTACTGCAATCCCAAGTGTTTGTGTAAAACTTTCTTGTATAAAAGGCCCCCAATTAATGTAATTAACTTGCAAATCTTACATGATTCCTCGCTACTAAGTGCTGTGTGGAAGTGTAATGCTTATTACTAGTTAGTCTGAAACGGGGGAGAAAAAGCTAATCCGTCACTGTGAGATGAAAGGGGTCCTGGAGAGCACGTGATCTGAGTTTGCACTCAGATTAGCCCCATTTCCGAGCCCTTGTTTGTGCCTGGGGAGGCCTCTGCTCTCACATCCCCTTCCAGCAGGAGCCAAATGCGCCCAGGTAGCGGCTGCAAGGGCTCCTTGCTCCCTCGGAGCACCGGCGCAGCCCTGGCACCCGGGCTGGCCGTTTGAGACCCGCCGCGGGGTCTCTGTTGAGCCCGGCACATGGAGGCCCTGCAGAAGCCCCAGGCTGCGTGCGGCACCTCGGCCACGGCATGAAGCCAGAGCAGGAGCCGCTGCAGAGGCGCAGGCCCGGGCTGGCAGCGCCGCTGCTCCCGTGCTGCTGCCTCGGGGCGCTCGGGGCCTGGCGCCTCCRGGGGCCTGTGGCTGCTGCGGCCCCCGCGCGAGGGCGGCTCTTGCGGCCCCTCAGCGGCTGCTCCGTGTTGCGGATCTTCCGTGACCCGAATGGACGCAGGGAGCGGGATGGAGTATGCTAAGACTTTAAAATGAGGTGAAAACTGATGAGCGTTCTGAGTAACCAAGGCAGAGAAAGAGCTGACAAGGGCCAACGTAGATCCCAGTTTCACCTTTTTCTTTTTTTTTTATTTCAGTTTTAGGTCACTTAACTGATCAGACACTGAGGAACTGATAYAGTACTAAGTCTTGTAAAAGTATTAAATAAAGGCTCACATCCAAAAGCTTGTCTTTTTTTTTTTTGTTTGTTTGTTTTTTGGTTTAGTTATATCAATGAAAACTATACATTCTTACAGGTCTTACTTTGGATAACTCTAAATGTGTGCACACTTTAACTGGACTCTCAAATTAACTGTGAAAGTACAGAATTATGCAGTGTTCTGCACCTCTCTGTCATCTTAAAGCAGTGTAATCATATGAGCATGAATGTGCCATATAAAGGGGCATCTATGGACACCCTTTATTTCTGAAAATTTTGGAGAAAGGTGATTAAYCCATATGAAATATTCTTATGTTGGTGTGACTTCATACATGTTTGAGGTTGTTCTAGTTTTACTGTTTTGAAAAAAACAATCCTGTCCCTGATTAAAGTAGATGGAAGCAAACTTTGCATTGACCAGGTCTAAAGTAGACCTGCTGCTACTGCTCCTCTGTGCAGGTATTTTGGGATTAGTGGTTTAGACACATCTGAACCTGGGTTGCAGTAGTAGTTGCAGATGCAGCCAAGAAGCCACTAATGAAGGAGAAACAACCGTCCTAGAAACTTTTCATTATTACTATGCACTTACTGCTTTTATTTCTATTTTCTCCTTTATTTGTAGAATGAAATGTGTCTTGCCACACAACAGCTTTCCAAGCAGCTCCTTGCCTATGAAAAACAGGTATTGTTGATATTTTACCTTTGGTTTCTGTTCAGCCTGAGCAATGGTGAAGCCTGTTCAAAGAGTGTCGTTTCCGAAAGTATTTAGAACATTGGCCTACTTGATTCCATGTGAAGACATCGTAAAATTCCCTAGTACCTTGAGGGGAATTAGGTCATTTTGGAGCACCTTGAAAAGCCCACTTCAAAATGTGGGTTGGCTCATTGAGATGCAAAACACTTTGTTCTTACTGTATGACCATGACCTTAAAGTACCCATTAACTATATGTTGTGCAAAATGACTTCCTTTAAAACAAGAAGAGCAAACTATAAAGGATATGTATTAATGAGTTAATTAAAGCAAAAGTTAATCATCTATTACCTATTTTGGGGGGTATGTATTACCTCTCTAGTAAAACATATGTTTTTATACCTATTCACTTTATTGATTTACAGACAAAATGTGTGTTTCTGTTTCAGCATTTTGCCTTAGGTAAAGGAGATGAAGAAGTGATATCCACCCTTCATTACTTTTCAAAAGTTGTGGATGAGGTAACTTGAATTGCCAGTAGGACTTTGTTGTTGTTTATTTGTTTTATTGTGATGATGAATCCTTTGAATTCTGAGCCTTCCCACTGCAGGGCAGGTTATCTGGGTTCTATACCACTATTTAAGCAAAGAAGAAAGGGAGCATAAACCCTCCCCTTTGAAACAGCCTCTTCACATCTACAGACCACTAGAGCTGCTTCTCTGTCTCCTTCTCACAAGGCATCCTCAGAGCAGAGCTGCACTTACCAAGTGGGAAAATCAGAAAAGAGGCTAAAAAAAGGCACCCCAGTCAAAGTGGGGTCATTTCTAATTTCACTCGCTTAAAAGCAATCAATGCATTCACACTTCCAAGCTTTAAACACCAATCCCAAACTTCCCAGGGATGGAGACAGGATACCTATGCGTTAGCAAAGTTGCTGCTTAGTTCCTGTAGGATTGTGTGGAATGCAAAGGGTGTCGGGCAGGCAGCAGAGCCGCACRTGCTGCAGGAACTAGAGCTGCAGGCACTCAGCACCTCTGCTCCCTGGAGGCAGCTGCTAAGCAGCAGGAGTCTTTCTATAGGTGCCCTTGCTAGGCCTGCTCATATAAAGTTTCACGCTGATCTCAGGATCTAGGTCCTTATCACCTGAGAATCCTCCTTCGGTGTCACRTCACTCTTCTTGGTCCAAGCAGGGCTGTGTGCCGTGAGAAGAATGTGCTGCTTCTTGTTAGARCACTTTTAATCCTTGTTAAGAGGGAAAAGAGCTGTCCCAAAGTCTGATTTTGGGGAGGAGACAGGAGATAGGACAAATACGGGGGGAAAAAGGAAGTTAAAAAATGTATAGTCATGCTCATCCTCTGGGTAACTAGTGATTTCGTGGGAGGAATCCCAAAGGTTAGCTTTGCCTCTAGGCCTCTCTGGCTGCAAACCAGCTGTCTGGGAATACTTGAAAGGATGCTCTGGGAATAGAAATCAGGTACCTGTCTTGCTGAAGTACAAATAGATAAAAAGCAGAACTTTCTCCTTGGATACAGGAGAATCATCCCCTTTGCAGGTTGAGAGCTGGGAACCTTTGTATTCCCTTCCATAGTTCACAAGAAATTGCTCCTTTCATTAGCCTCCTTTTCCATGTGTTAGCCAGCCCCTATACCTATTATTTTCCAGCTGTCCATTCTCCAGGCATTGAATTACTCTGCTTTAGTTCTGTATCATGTAGTGGTAAATAGAGACTTCCTCCCCACCTGTATAACCCTGTCTGGAGGCCTCTGGAAGGAGGCACTCCATGTGGCACTCCATGTGGCACTCCAGCAGCCTAGTAGACCTTCTGCCTGAATACATCCAAACATGAAGTGGTTGTTGTTGTTATTATTATTATTATTATCATAGGGTTAGACATCTCTTGCAGTTAAGGGCAGCACCCAGTTGTGTAGGATGCTGTACAAGCATAACAAAGGTCTCTTTTGAAAGCATTTCTACACTTTTGCTTTTAAGAGAAGAGGAAGAATTTGTGTATATGATGTATTTAAAACAGCAAGAAGTTTGCTAAGGAATTTTTGCCCATTATGACACAGGTAGATGCTTATGCTTTGTATCATATGTGAGCATGGGTTTCTGAGTAGAATTCTGACAGTCAGGAGGGCTCAGTTTGTTCCATGGAGATGTACATATCGCTCAGCAAGTTCAGCAGCAGACAGTGGATTCTTGTTCTTCTTATGTACATTGTGTCTCGGGGCACTCCTCTTTCTGTTTCAGCTCAATATTCTCCATTCTGAGCTGGCAAAACAACTTGCAGATACGATGGTTCTCCCAGTAATACAATTTCGGGAAAAGGATCTCACAGGTAAGTTTGATTTTAATTTCTCTCTCAGTATTTTCTTCTGTGATTTATTTCAGAATAAGCTGAGGCTAGGTGTAACATATGATTTCTTCTTATGTTAATTCACAGAAAAGTTTGATACTTATCCTCTGGATATCACTGCCAAGTACAGGCTTTTGCTAGATAAAGATAATGCAAATTTACCACATTTTATGCAGATGGTGCAGGTTTGAAAACACACAGCTTTGTTCTTTGTTGATTCACTCTGCTTTTACACTCGTGTAATTTCACTGAAGTCAGTGATGTTATTTCCCAAAGCAGGGAAATTTTGCAATGCATCTGGCTTGTAAACAGGATTACCTTTAGAAGTTTACATTTGTTTGAAAGGCACAAGCAGGATTTTTTTCTGTCTTCATATACTGTGTTCTCTCCTTAAGCAATCTGTCCTCTTTAAAAACTCTGTTATCCCGGGAAAGTTCCAAGTAATGCAATTGCACAAACTTAGAAGCTTCTTATTTAAACAGCAAAGCAGCAATAATGCAAACATTTGGTATAATTTCAAAGGAGGGTTAATATTCAAGGTCAAGGACACTGTAACCTACTCGTGCAACAGAAACATGAGATTTTAGCGCAGCATGTTCAGCTCACTCTTCTGTTTACTTTTAAAGACATTTTATTGGGACACAGACCAACTGCTGCAAAATAATAGCCTGTTTATGTTCCTTATATCATCCTATTAAGAAAAAATCAAGGTGCCTCCATATCAAAATGGATGGTTTGTTTATACTTTGGTGTTAAGAATCAAGCACCGCTTGGATGTTAAGATTTTGGGTCTATAAATGCTTTCACGACTTCTTAATGCGCCTCTATTGCCATGGTGAGTCCCCTTCCTTTTCTGTGTCTTCTGTCCCCTGGGGCATAAAAGGAGAGCAGAGAAAGAAGAGGCAAGTGAAGCCTGCAACCAAAAACCTCAGCTGTTTCAGACATGACAACCAGTGAAAGTTTCTTTTGCTTCCTTGGATGTTTAAGCCCCTTATATTCCACCCGTCCGTCCCACCCTGCATTTTTGTCTGACAGTAGAGAAACATTTTCGGTAGGGAGTCCTGAATGCATTGAAATTTCACTGCAGAAAAGAAGTGAAAGCAGCAAGGAAAGAAGCAAGAAAGAAAAGAAGCAAAAGCAGCGAGGAAAACTAACTGTGTTCTCTTGCTTTTAGTTCTGATCCTGTTACGTGCATGTGCTGAATACTGTAGAAACCTCTAGCTAGAAATTAGCTGTACCTGAGCAAGTGTTTCTGTTTTGCTGCATTAGAGTCATGCAGAGTGCTGTGAGAAGAAAAGGTTTGGTCAGTAAGCTGATCTGTGAGTTGGCTGTTACAAATAAGCAGAGGCCACGATGACATCTCACAGCTTCCCTTCTTTCTTTTTCCACAGTTACATAATGGCTGTTCTTAAGAATGCCCTTTCTTTGCAGCTTTCTGAAAAGGGCTCTGCCAGTTGTGGTGTACACTGGTATGGACACGGAGAGCATGTTGTGCCTCATACGTGTGAAAATTGAATCTCCTATTTAGCTTTTCTTCCCTCTGCATGAATCAGAACGTTTTGGCCAATGCCTGTCTGATAAGCATAGTAGACGGCAATTAGGTGTGTTCGATAACTGTTTGTTTCCACAGAGAAGTTTAGCAAAAAGAGAGTTCTGCGTTGATGAAGATTCCCTGACAAGAAAGGGGCTTAGTTCAGGTGTTGTTCTAGTCTCTGGGACCTACTCAGGTTCCTGTGTATCACCTGAGCGTGGTCAGGAAGTTGTTCAGAACTGCTGACCTCTTCCACCTGTTGTGATGCCAACCAGCACGAGAAATCGTGCTGCTTTGGGTAGATTACCAGCATTCATAAATCGTTCAGTGAAGTAAACTTGGCTCGCACTTCTCTGCCTTCTCATTTCTCAACCAGCTGATGAGATTTTTTATTTTCAAGACAGACACATGTTATACATCTGTACTTTAGAAGGATTAGAATGACTTGGGCATTAAACATGCAGTAAAGGTTTTTAGTTTTATTGTGGTCTCAGTTGAACAAATGGTATTTACAGCTTTTTATATTGTGAATGTTTTTCTTTTCCAGAAGTAAGCACACTGAAGGATCTTTTTGGCCTTGCCAGCAATGGTATGTGTCATGGGTTGGTGTGTTTCTAGTGGCATGCCCCAAGTGTTAAATCATGGAAGCCATTTGAAAGCCAAATTCCCAATTCTAAAAAAAAAAATATTCCTTGTCTACAGAACATGACGTGTCCATGGCAAAGTATAGCAGGTTACCGAAAAGGAAAGAAAATGAAAAGGTAAAGAACATGAAAGGGAAAAGGAAAAGTTTTCCTCAGCTCTTCTGTCTACATCATTGTAGCTAATCCTTACATGCACTAATGAACTTCGGAGAGTTCATTGCTTGAATTCACAGTAGCTCAAGAGTACTTGTGATTTAGTTTCCAAGCAGACACAAAGCTTTTGGACAAGGTCCAAACAGCAAGGATTCCAATTCAGCGAGGTTTTACCTGTTTACTCCAAAGTAGGCAAGTAATCAAGTGTTTTGCCGAACTGGAGCCATTTGGATGCAGAGAGATCTTCAGACAGAAACAAGGCAAATGGCTAGAATTAGGATTTGCATAGGGATACTGCTGTCCAGCTGATGTGATGATGCTGTATCAGTGAGTGCAATTCATTGGGAACTGTGTCAAGAAGCCTTGTGTCTGCTCTATATAAAACATTGCATTTTCCTCATCTGCCTTCCTGCTGTGTTTCTCTGTATGCATTGTAATTCTGCTTACAGTACATGAGACTGAGTTCCTGGGCCTGTTTGTGTATCTTTTTCATTGCTCACTGTACCACTGTTCCAAAGGACACTCCTGTTTGCCAAGAATATGTGATTAGCTCTATCATAAGAGAGCTTCAATTCTAGAGTGACAGAGCAGTCCTTTCAGAGAAATGCATTGCAGAAGAGGGTGGGATAGAGCACATGGTGAACTATTCACCTGTGAATTGTGCACTTCCAAGCCTGTCTGGTGACCCCACCTGCAAATAAATTTCTTGCACTGCAGTCAAATCCAGTGTGTTGGTTTCAGTACTTGTGTAGTTTGTAGTCCCAGTGGCTGCCCAGATGCTTAAGCAGCAAGAGCAGAACTTAAAAGTACTTGATTTGGGCGTTGGTTTGCTTTATTTTTCTTCCTTCATTTTCATGTGGAGAGCTTTTCTAGTGAAAGTGCTTTAATTATAACTTAAAAATAATCAGTAAATATATCCAGGTGAACAGCAACGCTTTGTTCAGACCCTGTATCAATTTTTATTCAGCTGAAGGCAGAAGTGGCCAAAGAAGTGGCAAATGCAAGGAGAAAGCAGCACCTTTCATCTCTGCAATATTATTGTGCCCTGAATGCTCTGCAGTACAGGAAGAGAGTAGCAATGATGGAGCCTATGCTAGGATATGCACGAGGACAGGTATGGATGGTAAAGTTACAGTATCACCTAAATAAACCACAAGGAGGAATTAGGAGCCATCAGGAAGCCAATCAGAACTTCCTTGCCTTGTATTTTATCCAGCAAAAAATCCATGCCTTATCTCACTGCTTAATGCTGGAAAGTCTTAGGCTGTTGTGGGAATAACTCTGCAGACAGAAGTCAGTTGATGTTGATGCTTAAAATACTGTGGAGCACCCTTCAGCTTCGCCAGTGCCTGTTCTCTTTATTAATCACTGCAAACTTATGAGCCTTCTGTTTCACACTTCTGTAGAATGATGAGGCCCTAAGAATTTTTTCCTGGAAGAAGCAGTTGCTAATGCAGGATTTGTTTGAGTGAAAAGTCACAAGGAGCCAGGCATGTCAGTCTCCTTGTAGTCAGGGGAATTTGAGAGCCTTCCTTCCTAAAGTAGGCTGCTGAACCAGAAGAGGTGAATCGTTCTTTAGGAGAGCCTGTTTCTCTCCTTTGTCTATGGAAAAATTCCGTGGTCGCTACCTTAGTTGCAGAAATCTGTGTTATAAGTAAGAGGAATCCTGTGTCCCAAGGTTAGGGGAAAAGGGTCAGAATTACAAGTACTGCGGGATGAGGGGATGAATTGCTCAACAGCACAAGATTGTTCCGGTGTTTTTACATTTCTGCCAGATGTCGTTCACTGCACCTTCTCATGAAGGCTCATTGATCACACGCACACACTGCCCTGATCCCTGCTTTACACGGCTGTTGGGATGTCCTGACTGTGGCTGTGCCTCATGGAGGGGGATCCCAGGCCAGCTCTACATCCAGGGCCTTGCTGCTCTTGCGTCCCTAAAGTGTCCTTAGCAGGAATTCCTCCTCTGTCCCAAGAAGTGCACTTGGGCCTCTGTGGCTCCATTCAGGCCCTTTCTTGGGGGAAAAAATGTATGTGATATTGACACAACTGCACTAGTTGTTACATCACTTTCTCAATGCCATAGAAGTTTTAAAAAAATTTAGGTTGGATTTATTCTACCAAGGAGAATGGAAGATTTGTGTCCTGTGCCTTTTGATGTGATGGCACTGAATGCAGAGGCTTATGACCCACTTAGACCCAGTGCTGCACCCAGTGCTGCCTTGGGAGAAGGTTTCCCATCTCCTTAGCCATTGGGCACCCTCCTTGGTAACGTACCTCTAAGGAGCCTGTACCCAGTGTGTGTTCAAAAGGGTGGGCAGAGGCTGGAGGAGAGCAAAAGGGACAAAGACAAAGAAAGGAGGGCAAGGCAGTTATTTAAGGATGTCTTTGATTGTCAGCCCAAGGCGCTGGTCATCAGGGGATCCCTGTTAACACAAACTTCTCCGCCAGAACCTTCCAAGATAACTTGCAGCATCCCCTTCTTGTCTGTTTCACAGATCAACTTTTTTAAGAAGGGCGCAGAGATGTTTTCCAAAAGGATGGATAGCTTCTTGTCTTCTGTTTCAGACATGGTTCAAAGGTAAGAGGGTGTTGTTTGTTCCTTTGAATTCTGAGCAATAGTGCAATATTCAGCACGCAGTGGGCATGACCTGCGTGCCTTATTCAGGGAGACAGGGAGAGGGCTTCCATGTTTTCACTGCACTGCTGGGTGTGGTGACAAACAGCAGGTGGAAGGGAGGTCTGTCTGTACACWCAGAGGAAAGTCCTGTCAGGGCACTGGAGTGGACAGTGTAGCCAGTAACTGTATAATATGTTTAAATGCACTCCTGCATGTTTGTGTCTCTTCCTGAACATACCAACATAGAATTTGGGCTTAAGAGGGCTTAATAGAAGTAGTAATATAATGGAGCTGAAGTGCTGCAGTATGGGCATTTGTACTTCCTGGGTCTTCTGCAGCCAAATTATTCTTACAGTAGCATCCCAACTTGGATCTTGTTGCAGTGGTTGAAGATGTGCACACAAGGCAAATAAAACTTATTGCCTACAGGTCACGCTCACTGTGTCTAATGTAGGCTGTGTCTGTTGTGCCCATGAGCTCAAACTCCTTTGGATGAGACCTTATTCAAAAAAATGCCCCAGTTCGGTACACCTCATTTTGTGATTATTTCTTCTTTTCTCTCTCTGACGTTCTTCTTTATAATTAAGTCCCTGTAATTGTTGTAAACTTTAAAATGAAACAGAGAAAACATGAAATARTTGTTTTAAATCACCTGGAACACTAGATCGATTCATTTGGCTTTTACTTCTTACCTTTCATAATGGCATTCAGCTGCATCATTACTTCTGTTGACTACGGTGGAGTTCTAAATAGTGCATATTTGTTGAGAGCAATGTTACAAATAACTTCACTGTGAAGTAGATTGCTTTTTACCAAATAATTCTTTATTTCCTGTACCCTTATGCTTATTCATACACCTTTTAACACTTGCTCTTCAAGCAGCTCCCTCCGTCCTCAATATAGCATTTGTGCAGAGCAAATAACAGATTTTAAACTCCCTTGAAACAGTGCTCTTTATTTATTAAGAGCATTTGCCTGTGTTTTACAGGCTCTATTTGCYAGGACCACTTTGTATATTTACAAATTCTTGCTATGTACTGAGCATCCTACCACTGTATCCTCCTCATAGAATAAGGCCTTGTTTTTCAAAGCCTGATGGATTTGGACTCTGGACAGTACACAAGGCTGAATGGAAACAAAAACAGGCTGCCTGCCTGCTTGCTTTGCTGGGTCTACCTCTCCTTTTTGTTTTCCCTCCCAAAGTCACATAGGAAAGCTCAAAAGCATAACCCAGTCGTGGCTAACACAGGGCTGGGAGGTCCTTGGGAAACCCACAAGAGAAGCTTGCAAAAATCTGCAGCACAGTTTATACAACTTGGCAGTTAGCAACTCAAGCCTGGGAAAGCAGGTTTCATGATTTAAGAGCACGGTCACTAAAATTGGTGTCCCTTTCCTTCTTGGTTCTGGGAATCCTAAGGCCAATAGTGAGTCAGATCTGCTGCTGCTCTAACTAGAAGCTTTTTATTTGGCAGACTTGTTTGCTATCAGGACAACAAGTTAATCCAGCTCACTGTGCAGCAGCAATGTAGTGTTAGATCTGCTTAAGCTAACTGTGAAACTGCCTCTGCATATTGAAAAGTGTTCTCATATACACAGTAAACATTGCTAACAGTGTCAAAGCATCTTAGAAGGGAGAGAAAGTGAACTTATCCCCAGCAGTGAATGGATCTAGTTGCTGCAAATGCACAGAACTTCAGCAGGGCCAGCTTTCCTCTCCGTTCTGTCTTGAGGATAAGAGAAGCCTTAGGAAGAGGAATTCATTCCCAGGAACTATGAAGATGCCAGGGTAGTTTTGTTGGAACAAACAAAAAAGATTAGTACTAATATAAAAACTCACTGCATTGTTCCATTTTATTTCAAATTTGAATTTAAATAATTCCTGTTCTAACACTTTATATTGAAAGCATAACAGCAAATACTTGATTTCTTTAGTGACTTTTCCAAACTAAGGCATTACTAACTGTATCCACACTGCTGGGAAGACTCACAGGGCAAGAGCACAAAAAAATGTCTCATTCCTTTCCCTTAGACAGTCATAGGCATTTGCACCTGTGCTTAAAGCAACTTTTCCCCACTCCTTGCTGCCCAAGCAGCTAAACTTTACAGAGAACATGATCCACTGAGAAGAGAGTCAAATAGAGGAGACTGCACAGGGCCATGCTTGGTCAAATTTTGAGCATGTCCAAGGATGGAGATTCCCCAGCCTTTCTGGGATTACAGCCGACTTTGGTCTTTACTCCTTGATTCTGAGAAACAATGTTCTCTGTTCTCTGCCTCTCATAGAACCACAAAATGGTTGAGGATGGAAGGGACTGGAGCATCTATCATGTGATGATAGGGACTGGAGCCAGACTAAGTGAGCTGGGCCTGTTCAGCCTGGAGAAGAGAAGATTGAGAGGGGATCTTACCAATGTACACAAATACCTGAGGGGAGAATGTAGCGAGAATGGGGCCAAACTCTTCTTGGTGGTGGCCAGTGACAGGACAAGGGGCAGTGGGTACAAGTTGAAACACAGGCAGCTCCATCTGCACGTGAGGAAGAACTKCTTTCCTGTGAGGGTGACAGAGCCCTGGCACAGGCTGCCCAGGGAGGTTGTGGAGGCTCCTTCTCTGGAGATCTTCCAGACCCACCTGGATGCCACCTTATTCCACGTGCTCTGGGTGTCCCAATCACTGCTCTCAGGATAAGAATTCCAGCAAGTTTACGCAGTTGCAGGAATAAGACTGTGAATAAGTGAATAAGCAGGAGTAAGTTCTGTGAAAGCCAGGATGCATCACAGTAAAACCTGCTTTGAACAGTGCCACTCACATCCAGGTGGGTTTGGAAGATCTCCAAAGAACAAGCCATGACGGGCTGCACAGGGAGGCTGTGGAGTCTCCTTCTCTGGAGATCTTCCCAACCTGCCTGGATGCCGCCCTGTGCCCCGTGCTCTGGGTGTCCCTGCTGGAGCAGGGGTTGGACTAGATGATCTCTAGAGGTCCCTTCCAACCTCAGCCCTTCTGTGATTCTGTGTCTAGGCTAGAGCAACTTCTGGGTATGTTCAGCACTATAAACCCATACAGGCCTTGCTCTTAGAAGTTGTGTCTAAAAAACTGTCCTTGTCTCTTCACTGTCATCATTAAATAGCCCTCAGGTGTATCCGTTTCATGCTTACAACATACCCTGGTATTTCTGATCATCTCTTTACCTGGAGAGAGAAGATAACAAACTTTAGTACAAACAGTACAAACTTTAAGGAGATAAAAGAAAAAGGCAGAGCTGCTCTCTAAAACATATGGAAAGTGACATCTTCAAGCCGTGATTTCAAAAGGAAGAGCAAGGGGAAGTCTCGGCAATGCTTCTGCTGCCAGCCTGCCAAAGAYGGCCGTGTTCTCCATGAGCCCCTGTTCCTGTCGCAGAGCACGTGCATCTCGTCTCCATAGCCTCCAGTGACATTTGCTGGGAGCAGCTCCTGGTCGTGTGTCTCTTTCCAAACTGCGCTGATTTACTCAGTGCTTAGAGAAGTCCTTGGACATGTAACTTCCATCATCTTCTCTGGAAAGTCTGTTTTAAAAATAAAGTTAATATTTACATTCCGCCCCCCCCTAAAAAAAAAAAAGTTGGAGTTTTTGCTCAGAAGCTCTACAAATTTAACTAGAGTCATATGTCCTGTCAGCTGTTATTTTTGTTCTTGTAGGGTTTACAGATRTTAGCTGTAGCCTGGAATAAAGTGACTAACACTGACCAGTTGTTGTTTTTTCCCCTGCCAGCATACAGGGAGAGTTGGATGCTGAAGCTGAAGCAATGAGGGTGTCACAGCAAGACTTAATTTCAGTTAATGAATCTGTTTACACCCCAGACTCTGATGTAACTTCACCTGCTATCAATAGGAATCTCATCCAGAAGGCTGGCTACCTTAACCTAAGAAAGTAAGACAGCAATTGCTATTTGCTGGTTTCTTTGATTAGTTTCTCTGACTAGTTGCTCCATTTGTTTAGGTSCTAAAAACTCTCAATGTAATGAGGTTTTAGGCTACTGAATTGTGTAGTAGTTCTACCTTTCAGTTCCTAAATGTCTCTGTCATCTTTGAAAACAAAGGTTAAAAGCTTAAACCAATTAGACTAACTTTTGTTTTTTTTGGTGAGTATTGGACACTTGTTCATTTCTCGCCGCAGGCTGAGAGCTGAATCACAGTGTGCAATATAAAGGACTTAAGAATATGACATACTACTGTGGAATTTACYTTTTTTAATGGTGACTCTGCTAATTTTTTTCTTGCTGCTCATCAGCTTGACAATATGTTTTTTCTATCAAGCTAAATAATATACCAGTTAACAATAAAAATCCATTTATTCCCTAGCTAGGAGGTAGTGCTGCTTTATATTTTTCTTTTAACTTGGAGTGCTTGAAACTAACTTAGTTCTTCCTCTTTCATTAAGGATTCCTCCCTGCTAGGAAGAAGTGAATCTTTTAATTCTAAACATTTTAATTTTTTTTCATTTAAAAAAAAAATCTGGGATTGAAAATAAAGTTGAGCTCCACATCGGGATGTATTCACAGTTATATAAGGTCATTTGGAGCCGTGTCTAAAATACTCCTGAGTCCTCAGCAGTGCTTATTCTCCTCAGTAAAACAGGTCTGGTGACGACCACGTGGGAAAGGCTGTATTTCTTCACGCAAGGTGGCAACTTGATGTGTCAGCCCCGGGGAGCTGTGGCAGGAGGATTGATTCAGGATCTGGACAACTGCTCCGTTATGGCTGTGGACTGTGAAGACAGAAGATACTGCTTCCAGATCACCACTCCTACAGGCAAACCGTACGAGACACAGGTTTTATTTGAGGACAGCCAGTCACACCTGCCTTTCAGATGGTGTTTCACATTAAACATGCTTGCTGTAATAGTAAGCTTTTCTGGGCCTCCAAAAGGCTCTTTCCAAATTACAGGGATGTTCATTCCAATCCGCCTTCCTGTACAACTGCCTAAACAGCAAATGTGGTATCATTTGGATGCAACCTATTCCTAATTTTTGTTCCTTTGATAATTAATAGATAAAAAGTGTGGTGACCCTAGCATATGACCYGCTGTGTTTACATTTTAGGGGGATAACTCTTCAAGCAGAAAGCAAGAAGGAGTATGAGGAGGTAAAAATATTTTCCTAAAGTTGTCGTTCTTGTACACAAATGAGTTTGAAGAGCTCAGTTTCATTTTTCCTTTCAGTGGATATGTGCCATCAACAACATCTCCCGGCAGATCTATCTCACCGACAATCCGGAGGTAGGAGCTCCTTCCCAGCCCTTCGCCTGTTCCTTCCGCCTGGCCTCGCGCTTGTTCTCTGCCCGACAATACCCGCGAAGCGCGGCGGCGCGCCAGTGCTTGCTGTTTGTTTTCTTAGGCAGCTGCTATCAAGTTAAATCAGACAGCCCTGCAAGCAGTGACTCCCATTACCAGCCTGGGGAGGAAACACGAGGTGCAGCATYCCAGGTAACCCCCTTGTTAGCGTGGCCCGGAGGCTGCTGCAGGTGCCCCTACTGCTGCTTCCCGGGGAGGGCCGCGAGAGGTGCCAGCGCTTGTTGCTCCACGTCACCCCTTCGAAACTCCTTGTAGTGACTCTTGGCTTTGGCTCCTTGTTCTGAAACAGAGGTGAAGCTTTATCTGTAAGCATTGTGCAGTGTGTAGTGCAACACAGCCCCCAGCACACACTGAAGCAAGTTTATTTTTAAGCSTTATCTCAACCAGTTCCTGTCGGCGTTGACAGCAGCGCGCTATACACAGCTGTCAGAATAGTTATTGTTATTCTCCTGTGCTCGTTCAGATCAATCATTCAAGCTCCCCTCCTTYGTCAGAAATTGTTAGTAATGCCCTAGGGTAGGCATATATCCCAAATACATAGTCTGTGTTGGAGTTGTCTGCTTCATTAATGATCCCACATCCCGCCCAGGCAGACTCCATGACCAGGGCTGGCTTTGATCGATCCAGGCCCCGTCTTGGCCKGAGTTCCTGCTCTGAGCAGCCGTGTGCTAAGTTAAATAGGGCAAGTTTGTGACACACCAGCTTCGACATGAAGAGACTTTTCTGCAAAATTTGACACCAAATTGTAAATTCTTACCTAGATAATTACTCTTAGACATTCAAACCCTTTTTCTTACCTCCTGCCTCTCAAGTCTGTGCATTTATTATGATTTATTTTCCCKTTATTGTCACTGCTTGGAGATTGCAGAGATCCCCTATAGGCATGGGGCATGCCAGTCAAATGGCTTCCTTTCTCATTTTATTCATGGTACAGAAGTTGTACTTCTTTGATTGGAGCTTTATAAAAAGGAAAGCAACTCTGTCTATTTGGCTGGGCAAAGGAAGTAACTGTTTCATTGACAGATCACCTATGAGGCACTTCTACAGCTGCATGCAACCAGAAAGCTTTGTAGACATAAAAGATGCTACTAGTAAAGCAAGTGTAGTAATGTGAATAACTATAAGTGAGGAAAGACGCAGGAAGAAATCTGAATATGTAACATTTGTTTCTTAACTATCACATTATAAATAGGCATTGTAGACRGGCAGCTGTATGGACACTGGAGGGCAGGGAGCAAATAGCAGCCGTGGGTGACTGATGGTCTATCTGTAGCTATTTAGAATTGATTTGAATTCTGGTTTAGTGTACCAGCATTTACTTCTAAATGATTTTAGATACAACAAATTTTATAAGAATGCTTAATATGAAATTAATAGGAAAATATTCTTTATAGTTATGAGTACTGCTTCATTCTTGCTTTCAGTTTCTGAATAACCTCATCTCTTGTCCAAGTGAAGATCTAGTATCACTCTCTGAAATATTTTTCCTTTTTCATTTTAGCCAGAATGTAAAGAATATRGCAAATGATAAAATAGCTCCCCATGAAACTGGCGTTCAAGACTCAACACAACTCATTGCTCCTGGAACCCCCATTCAGTTTGACATTGTGCTGCCTGCCACAGAGTTCCTGGATCAGAACAGAGGTGGCAGGTACGGTCAGAGACAGGGATCGCTTTTAACAGAGTGATTTCAGAGGAGACCGTTAGATACTTCGTAGTATTTGTGGCAACAATCTGTAATTAAGAGTTTTTTGTTCTTATTTCACAGGCGTGCAAACCCGTTTGGGGAATCTGAAGACAGCAGTAACGGTGAAGAGGAAGGTAAGTGCTTCATTCTTCTAGTTAAAATTAATTATGTTCTTATGTTTAATTTAGCTGTCAACCTATCCTGTCTCTTAATGAAAGCAGCTGATATCACAGAGCAGCAGTAGCAGCCCCATAACAGAGCTGAAGGGAGCTACCYCTGCCAAGCTTGCCTTCCAAACAAACACCTGAACCTGTGAGAAAACACCTCTTTCTTGACYGTCCAGGCTACAGGCCAGATCAGCTTGACTTAAAAAGATAAAAGGCAAAAGACTGGTTTGGTCTGGGTTGATTTTCGAGAGTGGCTCTTGACTACTGTAGGAAGGGTTTGATGGGGCTGTTTGGTAACTGCAGTCGGCAGCAAGAGATCCCAGCTCTGGAGCATGTAAAACTGAGCACAGTCCTCAGGGACTGCCTGCTCCTTACACTGTGGTGCTGCTCCGCAGCGCGGCGTGGGGCTCCGCAGCGTGGCGTGGGGCTCCGCAGTGTGGGGCTCCACGGTGCAGTGGGAGACTCTGCAGTGTGGGGCTCCACGGTGCAGTGGGAGACTCTGCAGTGTGGGGCTGTGCAGTGTGGGGCCGTGCAGTGTGGGGCCCTGCAGTGCGGGGCCGTGCAGTGTGGGGCCCTGCAGTGTGGGGCTGTGCAGTGTGGGGCTGTGCAGTGTGGGGCCCTGCAGTGTGGGGCTGTGCAGTGTGGGGCCCTGCAGTGCGGGGCTGTGCAGTGTGGGGCCGTGCAGTGTGGGGCCGTGCAGTGTGGGGCCGTGCAGTGTGGGGCCCTGCAGTGCAGGGCTGTGCAGTGTGGGGCCCTGCAGTGCGGGGCTCTGCAGTGTGGGGCCGTGCAGTGTGGGGCCCTGCAGTGCAGGGCCCTGCAGTGTGGGGCCCTGCAGTGCAGGGCTGTGCAGTGCAGGGGCTGTGCAGTGCGGGGCCCTGCAGTGCGGGGCCCTGCAGTGTGGGGCCCTGCAGTGCGGGGCCCTGCAGTGTGGGGCTGTGCAGTGCGGGGCTGTGCAGTGTGGGGCTCCGCAGTGCGGTGTGCGGCTCGGCCGCGGCTGAGCCGAGCGGTGTCCGTGTGCGGTGCCGACGGGGCCGCTGTGTTCCCGGAGCAGCAACACTGCGCGCGCCCCGTCCTGCCTCCCTCCCTCGCTGCTGAGCAGAGCTCCAGCCCAGGGACAGCCTCATCCGCCAGCAGCTGCTCCCCTGTGAGGAAGAGCCTGAGAAGAGACAGTCAGTGAGCAAGGGAGGGCGGAGGGAAAAACTCCAGGGTCATCTTCAGGGAAGGTCAGGAAGACTTAAGATAAATAGGAATGGACAGAGTCTAGAGGTAAGAACTGCTCTGATGTCAGCCAAGCATTATGCAAAATTGTCAGTTTATCACAGTTTATTTGTCACGGTTCCTCCAGCTTGTCACAAGGTGGCACGTGAATTACACCAACTAATCAAAAGACTCATAAAGGACTAGTTATATTTTTAAAGCTCCCCGGCAGCTGTGATTTTGTTCTACTTGCTGCCTCTTCAGAACTGTGTCAGAGCAATGCCTGGCAAATTGGGAAAGGAAGTCCCCACCCTGTGTTCTATTGCTGAGTTTGGAAGGAGAAAAAAATAACGCATCCGTGGGTAGGTTCAGTTTGCCAGCAGCCGGGGTGCCGTGAGAAGCAGCACGCTCAAACCGTTGATGCCTTTTGCCTTCCAGACTCCCTCTTGCAGCAGATGTTCATAGTGCGGTTTTTGGGATCGATGGCCGTTCAGTCAGATGACACAAGCGAGGTGATCTACGAAGCCATGAGACAAGTGTTAGCTGCTCGAGCCATTCACAACATCTTCCGTATGACCGAGTCCCATCTTCTGGTCACCAGCAAGAACTTGAGGTACGATAAAAACTTCATCTGTTATTTCTCGTTTCTCTTTTCTCTTTGCGTAGCTTTTGCTTGTTGGAGTATCCGCATTGTTTCTTTGCCCCAAACAGCCACAGCGCTGGCCTTCATGTGGCAGGGCACCCTGAAGCTACCTCCACACATCACTCTTCTAAAACCACTTCTTTTTCCTTTAAATTCCAGGTTAATAGATCCTCAAACCCAAGTTACGCGAACAAGTGTAAGTAACTTCCGTGCATTTTGCTGCTGGTTTCTGCCACGGCGGTGAAACTCGGTGCCGTGAAGGCGAGGTCTGGTTTATGCCAGTTAAAATTGTTGCTGCTGCTGTTCCAGTTCGACCTCGCCAGCGTGACGCAGTTCGCGGCCCATCAGGACAACAAGCGGCTGATCGGTTTTGTGGTCCGTCCCAGTGACGCCCTGGGAGAAGAATCCCTGAGCGCCTATGTTTTTGAGAGCAACACGGAAGGGGAAAAGGTTTGCRTTGCATTTATCAATAAATACACTTGATTTAGAAGAACAAGGCCTAGCTTCGTCAGCTGACGCATCAGGGAAACTATAACAGAAGCAAGAGCAGCAAGATACTTTGCTAGGGTGTCCTGCCTTAGTGTGTAAGCCTTTGATGGCTTTACTCTAAGTAGGAAAAAACACACACAAAAAAACAAACTAATTTGTAGCTAATGTAGCAGACATATGGAACAAAACAGAGAAAAATGAGATCGCTAATACAAGAGATACAAGAAAGTGCGTGTGGTGGCAGCACTAACAAAACGAGTGTCRGCTCTGCTGAGACAGCCCCTGGAGAGCTGTCAGAAAGGAGCCCTGCCTGGTGAGCACCACTGGCCAGAGCTCCGTGCTCGCTGCCTGCTATGATACAAGGATAGGATAAATAAAGGAGGGATGTGCCAGGGAATTCTTCTGCCCAAAAAGCAAATAATAATAAAGCAAATAAAGCAAATAATAAAGCAAAAAATAATAAAGCAAAAAATAATAAAGCAAAAAAGCAAATAAAGACACTTGGCTCCAAACTTCAGGGTGTTCTCCAGTGCACTTCAGCACCAGCTTGCTGAAGGAAGTCGCATGCAGCAAAAAAATCTACTCTGATGAACAAAAAGCTGAATAACTGGCCTTAAGTGAGCTTTGAAGCAGCACCAAACTGAGTCACCAACAGCTGAAAGGGCAGTGTTATTTTCATGTCATTTTTCTGGTCATTGATGTCTGTTTTTAGACTTTTATCTAAGACTTTGTACTGACGCTTCTGTGTGTTAGTAAAGATAAAGCAATAATTCCCCCAAAAAATCTAAAATTTAAATACCTTTCTTCTTTCTTTTTCAGATTTGCTATGCCATCAGCTTGGGAAAAGAAATCATTGAGGCACAGAAGGTAAAAGCATTTCAGTTTAATTCCTTGTATCTGTGTTTTGATGCATATTCTTTGGTTATGGCTGCGCTTTCCAGCTACCTCTGCTGGGCGTGGGAGGCGCTTCTCAAATTGGGCAGGCAGTTTCACAGAACCGCTCAGTATTTAAAAGTCAAGTTGACTTTGCCAGAGCTTGATTTGAGATAAAACATGACACCCTTAATCATGTCCAGGATGATGCGAAGCTATTTTCATATGGAGATGGACATTGGGAGCAAGGTTAAAGTAAATCCTTTGGCTGAAGCGCAAATTGCACCTATTACAGTTTCAGTTTTAGCAACTCCWGTTCCTTCCTCCCTTAGGGAGAAAAGCTCACAGAAAGCTTTTCCACTTAAAAAGAAAAGCAAAGTTACCCAGCCCATCATGGAAATGTACCATGTAAAGATTTGACACTAATAGCATTTTCTGTATATTCTTACTGCTGGGATTTCACAAAAAGGTGGGGAAAGGACCTTTCGGTCACGCGTTAGCACAACTACAGTAACAGAGAAGGCAGTTGAACAGTTATTTAAGATTTTCTCTACCATTTTCAGCAATTACAGCAATTCCAGGCAAGCGTCAGAATAAAGGCTCAAAACAAGTGWTCCACTTCTTTTACACACCCAGGGAGTTCCCCAAAGTGAAATCCAAGTACCTGTGTTTGTTTCAAAACTTGACGCCAGAATTACTCACGCTGAAGCCTCYAGGTTAAATAGTGTCAGCCGGGTCACAAGCCCCTCACGAGCCGCGGGCAGCGATGTGCTCCTCTGAAGGAAACGCTGCTGCAGGCAGCTCAACTTCTTGCTTCTTTGCTTTCCTTCAGGACCCGGAAGCACTAGCCCAGCTAATGAAGTCGGTGCCATTAACAAACGATGGGAAGTTCGTGCTCCTAAACGATCCGTCAGAAGAGGATGGGACCGCTGGCGCAGAAGCGGAGGAGTCGGAGGCGTAAGAAGCACCACAGCAGCACCCCTCAAACCTGTCATTATTTCCCACCGCCTCTGTGGGAGCAGGAAAAGCAGGGAGTCTTTTTGCAAGAATCCCTGCTTTTTTTCTCATCCGTGCACACCCTGGGCCAGCTTCTGCCRTCCTGCTAGGGAGAACGTGGCAGCTTGGCAGGGGCTTTGCTCCGGCCTTGGGAGGCAGCAAAAGCAGGACTCGTGGTGCCGCGAGGCTGCGCCGGGGAAGCCGCCAGGCTTGGGGAAGGCTCCAGCGCCGGCCCCGGCGCTGCCGGGGGAAGCTGAGCACAGCTCTGAGCCCCCAAGGCTTTCGTGGCACCGCTTCCCGGAGAACTGCAAGCGGCCGGCACCGGCAGCAGCGTGCGCCGGGAGCTGCCAGCTCCTTCCAAAATAATATTAATAATTGGGACCTCCCTTTCCTGCCCCGGGCATCAGTTTTCATAGCTCACGTGATGATGTACAGCTGAATGAAGGTTTTAAAAAAATGCACTATTTACTTTATTTTCAGATGAAGTTATTTTTAGTCTAGTCTGAGTGTAACAAGATTTATCTTTTGTGCTAGCCTATTGACAAAACAATTTGTTAAACACTAAATTTTTCCTATTAATATAATCTATTTTTATATGGCATCTGGAATAAGCTTACAAAACAAATTTCAAGTGCCTACTCTTACCTTCCTGGGGACCACGCTCACATTCTGGAATTAAATAATGGATAGAATGTAAYGGACCTTCTTGATTTACTGTTCTAAACACCACTGATCCGCAGACATCAAGAGTTGCCCACAGCGGCGGCACGTTAGCTGCGTGCAGCTTTTATAGGGTTAGGTTTCTTCAGAGAGTTAAGCTGACAGAGGGGTGACAATTGTAGAGCAAATACCTACTTTTATAGAGTTGTATGTTTAACATTATGGTGACAAAATACAGGAGCAATCTTCAGTTTTAGAAAGCTGAGCAATAAAATGCTAGTTTATAAATCTGTGGCGCATTGAGCAGTGTCCCACTGCATTCCTAAAAGGAGGCACTCTGGTTAGCTGGTAAGTTTAGATTTTTTTTCCAGTTTAACTTTGCAAAACCAAGCAAAAATAGACAGAACGTGGAAGAGAGGGGACCGACGGGGAAGACAGCAATTGCAAGGGTTTTATTTATCACGTAAAAGTAACTGGAACAAAAGGCTGTAATTCCTCAAATGATTTTAATTCTTCTCGAGCATTTGCTAGGAARGAGTTTCTGTAGGCGGGATCTCTGCTTTCCAAAAGATCTGTTTGCAAGTGTTGGACATGGAGTAAGTTCAAGTAACTAGTTGTTTAATGTTTGTAAGAATGTGCAAAACTTAGTAATGGCACAAACACTTCTTTACAAATAAAAATTGAAGCTATTAAAAAGATTAAAACCTGCTGAACCTCTGTTACTGCAGACCACTAAGAATGCGGTTTTCAAAATTACATTTATTAACACAGCTTTATGTACAGAGTGTACTCACAGAACCAAAGAGACTGAGGTAACAAAATACCCTTTTGTACAAGGAGTTAGGAAACCTAAGGGTTACATTTGGTCCTTTGTACCTGAGAAGCTGGAAYGGTCCTTGCTGAAATTCACTCCAGGTTACCTCTAACTGGGGCACTGCTGCGGGGCCCTCTGCCAGGCRGGCACTTGGGCACCCCACAGGGCACGTGGGGCGGCCCATGGAGCATGTGGGGCAGCCCCGGCCCGGCCCTTGGCTGTGGGGCTGGCAGCGGAACAAGCGCGGAAGGGGACGCAGGGGCCCGGCCCCGCTCCGGACRCGGCCAGGGGACAGCGCGGGAGGGCAGCAGGGGCGGTCGCTTTGTCGGGACACGGACGGGCCTCGAGCCCCTTCTGCCTGGGGAGAGGGCCAGAGAGCAGAACTACCCCCTGCCACAAACCCTCTGCCTTTACCTCCTCTGGGAAGTGTGAGCAAGCAAGAGCCTTGGGTTAGTTACCTTTGTTTTGAATCTCCAGAGCTTTGGGTTAGTTACCTTTGTTTTGAATCTCCAGAGCTTTGGGTTAGTTACCTTTGTTTTGACTCCATCCTCACTTCTCCAGACAACTAGTCAGGGTCCAGTTTGTTCCTCTAATCAGCGCAGGAAGGCAAAAGCAATGCAGATGGCTCCCGCAGTGGCACCGCAGCAAGGGTTAAATGCACGTGTCGTTACCACACAGGACATCTAAAACTGGGGCCCTCCTTGTACTGCAGATAGCACAGAGCTTCCTGCACCTATTTGCTACATGACAAAGTTCTCTGTTTAAATACAATAACTACAACCTGGTATTAGCAAGAATAGTTCTTTATCACTGTACATATTTATGAGTGCGCATATATATATTTCTTTGTTAATTTGGCCATATAGGATACATTCAGGGCCCCCGATCTAAAAAGCGTTCTATAAAAATAAGCTTGTGTCTTGTAGAATTTCCCCCACCAGAACCACGCGGGTTTCTGACCGCACGTGACGAAAACGCAGAGCTCAGGGATAGCTGCAAATTACCCCCTGTCTGAGAGGGGGGCCTCAAAAGGAAAAAAACGAGGGGAAGGAGAGCTGCAGGTTTCACAGAGCACAGGCAAAGCCCTGACCGACTGTACACGGTAGCCAGCAAGCCAGTCCCRTGGGAATCAACACGTGCAGCCCATTCTGCCGAGCCATGGACCAGCCCACCAGCGGTGTGGGGCACGCGGGAAGGCTCCGGCACGCCGGTGTCACGAGAAACACCCTAAAGTTAGGCAGGGAACGCAGCCTTCTTAGGGCAGTCTCTCTGCAAGGATAATGAATCAAAACTGAAAGCCTGCAGGAACTCAAGCGGATTTCAACAGTCGTGTTTTCACCAAAGGGACTTGCACATGAGCCTGGCCTCTCCAGTTGCAACAGAAGATCTCTGGTTTTCTGAGAGTTAAAGGGACCGGCAGAAAAGGACATATCAAGGATCCCARGAATCATCTTAATCAGGAAGCCAAGGGTAGAGCAATTGGAACCACATACCTTAAAACCTCATCTTTTTTTGTCATTAGAAGAGATGAAAGAAGCTGGCAATTACAGCCTAATTGTACMGTCAAAGGCCAAAAAGGAAGAAAAAAAGTGAATCTCAGGCTGACTGGAGTGTTTATTCTAGCTAGTAAGTCCTTGTTTTATACTCTGGGACACTGAAACACAATTGTATCTTTTAATGAAACTGGCACTCATTTTTAAGCTAAGTCTAGCTACCTGTTCAAGTCAGGAATCTGAGTAACTCTTGCACAGTATAGAAATTTCTACTTGCAGGCGTTAAAAGATGTTAAATTTCTACAGAGTTCTCACAGTGTTGAGCAGCTTCCGAAATCTGCAGTGCAATTATTGTTAATGGTCAGGCAGGTAAAACTGTATGAAGAGCACAGGAAAAACAACAGACCTACAAAGGCAAGGAAAGACCGATGGGAGGCTGCAACCTGCAGTTAGGCACGCCGGAGTCCTGGTGGGTAAGATCACTTGGCAGGAACAGACACCCCTCACACAGTGTCTGGTCGCAGGAGGAAGAGCTGCTGGCAGTTCCCTCGTGGCTCGGGGGGTTTCCTGACTTCTGTGSACGCACAGCAGACCTTCGGTACAAAACGAGGAGCAAGTTCATTACATTTTTCATGTAATGTATATTCCCCCATTCCCTGACACAGGGTTGGAAAAAGAGCAGGGAGAGATAAACCCGCCAGGATTTTAAATTTCCCACAGCCCAAATAATACACTAAAGGTTTTAGTGTAATACAACATTAATAAGGATTTCCATCTTGTGCAACAGCTTTAACAGCCGCAACATCCACTGCTCTGCCTGCAGCAGAACGTAACACGAGTCCATAGCACTTTGGACAACAAATAGGCCCTTGCTGTGGAGTAAAAACAAACAGTATCTTGCTTTTTTTTTTTTTTTTTTTTTTTTTTTTTTCTCTGAGGGAAGAGACATGCCTGTTGTTAAAGCACTGCTGAGAGGCTTCTTTTTCTTTTTTTTTTTCTCTTTATTCCTCTTTATCAAAATGTTATATTAGAGATGCAAGAAAACATCTAAAAATTAGAAAGATTTTTTTTCTGTAATTTAAAATAGCTTCCTCTAACGTCAAGTTTTATATCATTATTTTCCAGAGAAAAAGACTGCTGAAAATACTGCAAATAAATAACCCCTGCCTGAAAAAAGAGGGGTTTCTAAACAGAGAGAGAGACAACTGCAGCCTTTGCAGCTCTGGCTGTTCACACACTAGTGTACATTTACTACTGGCTTTAGCAGAGAGTGTAAATCAAGTCTACAGCTTTTGCAGAGCATTACAGATAGTGACAAAAAATGAGTTACCCAAGTAGGCAATTACTCATCCCCCATACCGGATTTATCATTTCACAACAGGATCGGCAGGCGCGGAGCTGGCAAGATCTCCGTTGCTTCCCTTAACAGATTCCTCTACAAAGACAAACATGAGGACAGATACGGTTTAACACTTTCAGGAGAGCAGCAGAAAGCCCCAGCACCCGCGTTACGCTCACGTGGCAAAGCAGCCAGCACCACCCCGCCAGCAGATCCTAACTGACCCGCTAGCTACAAACATCCCGGCCCTCTGAAGCGCCCCGTTTGGGGTGAATTCTCCTCAGCGGCAGGATGGCTGGTGTGAAGAGCGGGTGTCTGTGCTCACACACTCTGCAGGGCCCAAGCTGACACGCTGTGCTGGAAGGCCACGATACTGCAGTGATGGTCCCAGCTTTTACTCCGCTGCTCCAARCTTCAGGTATTTCAAGCTTCTCTCACTGCTAGCACATTTTACATTCAAAACCATATGGGTATCCTGACAGCAAATACTTAACCTGAAATATATTTCAGTAACTGCTGTTCTACTGAATGCTCTATCAAAATAGAGAGGATAATTTACCTCTTCTGCTCATCACACTGCTTATAGCTCCCTCCACCATCCCCAAAAGTTAGGCAATGTTTGGAGCAACTCCACTGAATGTGATTGAGTATAAATTCATGGTTAAAGAACTTCCTTTGTCAACTAATTAGCTTCTCTAGTATAAAGAAAAAAACACTGAAGCCAGCGGAGAGCTACAAAGACGATTAAGGGACTGGAACATCTCTCGTATGAGAGACTGAGTGAGTTGGGCCTGTTTAGCCTGGAGAAGAGAAGGCTGAGAGGGGATTTGATTAACATGTATAAGTACATTAAGGGAGAATGTMGGGAGGAAGGGGCCAAGCTCTTCTCAGCGGTGGCCAGTGACAGGACAAGGGGCAATGGGTGCAAGCTGCAACACAGGCAGCTCCATCTCCATGTGAGCAGGAACTTCTTCCCTGTGAGGGTGMCAGAGCCCTGGCACAGGCTGCCCAGGGAGGCTGTGGAGTCTCCTTCTCTGGAGATCTCCCCAGCCCACCTGGATGYSRCCCTGTGCCCCRTGCTCTGGGTGTCCCTGCTGGAGCAGGGGGTTTGGACTAGATGATCTCTAGAGGTCCCTTCCAACCTCAACCAKTCTGTGATTCTGTGATTCAGTTCCAACAATCTCACAGGTCACTCTTGAGTGTCTSTCAGAACTACAGTGGAAAGTTATTTATCAATTCAATTTTTAATTATTACTATATTCAGCCATGGGAGACTTGCGTTTCCAAGAATATGGTGACTGATCTGTATGTTCACACCTGTACCCTTGGCAGCGTTCTCATTTAAAGAGGTTTTAAAACATACACGACAATTTCTCACAGCCAAGAGACTTTTCCAGATTTCAGAAGGGAACAAACGTGCACATGTCCATGTAAGAGCAAAATTCCCGTGTTTACTCAAGAGATCTTACTACCAATTGCTATGCTGATCTTTGAAAAATTAAGTGGTACACCAGAACACACAATAAACATCCAAAAGTTAGCTCCAATAGTTGCAAGCATCACCTGCCTGTGCAAGTTGAGAAAACATCTGTTCAACAACACGTGAAAAAAACAGTTTTCCAGCACAGGTTGTGCAGAGGGGGCTGCCATTGACAGAATGGGTGACAGAGAGGGAAAGCTGATCCTGACTTACTGAACTTAATACTATTGCTAGTCTGAAACTCTTCCTGGCCTCGTTTTTTTCTTCCCTCTAGAAGTCAGCTTAAAATTCCCCTGTTTCAGAGAAGATCGCTAAGGGATTGTCCTGCTGAAACATCCTCAATCCAGAAAACACTTTCTGGAATTCAACCCACTAGCAAGAGAGTAGCAATGGAGAAAAAGGCAAGGGCACTTCTGCACTTCTTTCCCTCAAGCAGACAAAACAAAACAAAATCAAAACAAGTCTTCTACAGTCAGCATTCACTCACCTTCTTTCTCTCTCTTTTCCTGGTTTTCTTCTGCTGCAGTTTTATCTGCTCGGAAAAATATTCTTGCACTGCTTAGTGAGAAATAAAGCAGTTCAAATTCCTAAATAAAAAGATACAGAATGGAGTGTTAAGTTATCAAAAAAAAATCTGTAGACCAATATGAACAGGCTCTTTCAGAAGCATCTCAGGCAGTAAGATTTCAATTAAAATTGATCAATCAATTGAAAAATGCTTTCTCCCCCATGCCTGATGCACATGCATTTTATAAAGCAGAGGGCAGCCAGAACCTGGAAGAATAATGAAAATTAAGCAGCACCCATGCAGTAAAAATGGGACTAAGCCACCGAGGCTCAAAATGCAGTTTGCAGCAGCAGTGAAGATCTGCAACACCCTGCCTGTGGAAAACCATGCCAGAACTAAACGTAGGGGACCAGAGGCTTGGTCCGTCACTGACCAAGGCCAAGGTTCCCCTAACAGCAGAGGAGCAGCCGCCCCAGCGCAGGCCCTTGGCAGCACGAGGGCAKGCAGGGCTTCAGCAACACAGGGGCAGCTGCAGAACGCAAGCAGGGACCGTGCAGAACAACTACAGCTACAACTACTGTCCTGTGCCAGCCTGGAGGCGAAAGCAAAGCGAGGGGAGGCAGGGAGCACTCGTGTCCCTGCTGCAGCCAGGGCGGCTGCGCTTCAGAATTCAATAATTTGTCTTGCCCCTGGCAGCTGCCATATACTGCAACTTTGCAACCTAGGGAAGCAATACCCAAGCAGCTCTGCAGATTCAAAGTGCTATAGGCAATCTCTCTTCTAATAAATGTAATTGAAAAGCTGCTCTTTCCTATTTAAGCATTTAGATTTTAATTGTAGTAGTCAAAGACCGCCAATCAAACAACTGAAATTGCTAAGAGTGCTCAGGATATTCCCTGCAAATAATATATCTGAAATCTTTGTGTTTTTGTTGTTTCTGCTCCGGGACACACTCTGCTTTTGCTCTCGCTGTGCTCCTTTGGGAAACAGTTGCCTGAACCATGATGGGTAAGCGCAGAACTGTGCAAAGGACACAGCTTGAGCCATGCAAACAAACCTGCAAGCAAACTTCCAGGCGCTTGTGGGTCAAGTTCATAGTTTGCAGCAGTTTTTCGTCTTGATTAGTGGACTGCACATTCTGYTGTTTAGCTACTGCTCTGATTTCCTTCACGTATTTCTCTCGAACAGACTGGAACCAGTGCAGCGAATCAAACTCCTGGTACTGATCCAAAAGCTTCAGAATATAAGCCACTCCTGTAGTCACCAACAAACCGTTTTCCACAGTCAGCATGCAACTAGTGAAACGTGTTCAGTTAACGTCTCTGAGGGACTGGGCTTAAGTTCTTAACGCTCATGTGGTCAAGCTCTCATCTACAATTAACGTTACATCTACATACTGCAGCATGTAGTACAATTACATCTAACAGAGGGAGAATAAAGAGCATATCTTACTCTTTAGGCTCCTAGGGCTTACATAAAGACCCGAATATATTCTCATTTTTAGGCTGCAATCTTTTGAGGAAAAAGGAAAAAGGCGGAATGGGAGGGGAGGTACCACACGGTGCCACACAGGGCAGAATTGTTGCTCAGTTACTTCATACTCCATGCTTACGAGTTCCTCTACAAAACAAAACCCTGCAGCTCACTGTGCTGACACCAAAACAACCCAAATTTAAATTTGGRAAACTGGATACACACCAAATAAGCAGCAAACTTCTTGTGCAAGTATCTGGAGGGCCAGTCAGAGCACTGAAACTTACCCATGGCAAATCCATCATCAGTGAAAGCTGCTCCACTTTTGTTCTTCTTATTCAGTTTCTCCTTGCAGCTGATTGAATGTTCTACAAAATTGAGGGTCTGAAAGAATGAAAAAACAACTGGTTTTGAATCATCATAAAAGACTTAAAAATGTAAAAGGTATGTGAATGTTGTTAGCTATAAATACAATTCCATTCCCAAACTACACTAATTATATCCTACATCATGAAATGCTTGTTCTTTTTGTAGATTCGGGGTGTGTGTGTGTGTGTGTGGAAAGAGCTTAGCTGAGTTTTGGAAGACATTTGTTTAGGCACCTGTATATAACACAAGGTGCAACCTCATCCTTGCTGTATGCATTAGACTCTATTGCTTAGCTCCCCCTGGAGAAATAGTAATGGAAACTTAACTAAAGCACAGGGTAACCAAAATAGTCCAAGCAGCTGGAAGGCTCAGTTAGAGGATATTAAGGTTTCAAAGGGACAACATATTATTTCACTCTATTTAGACAACTGAATGAAGATTTCCACAACATTCTAAAATTTACTACAATGTTAAAAAATAGATGTGTAGTACTATCAAGCAAAGGTTGTGTCTCTGTACATATAGCAACCTTTGGGACATGGAAATGAGTGTACAGTAACAACTYGCTGACAATCTACAACACAACTTAAAAACATCAAAATGCATTTCAGCATAAAATGGGGGGCACATTACAAAATAGTATTTATCAAAAAGAGAAGTAGRCAAATGGGAAGAGGAACAAAAGTACTTGCCAAGCATTTCCTTTCCCTCACTTCTGTTACAATAATACACTTCCTTATGCTCTGAGTTTGTGTGGCTCACCTATGTTTCAAAATTAGTTCTTTAATTATATTAAGTTTCTAAAATGAGATGTTCTAAAATGAGATGGTTCTGTTTAGACCATTTAGGCCTTCAATGTGAGCTGCTTTTGATTAGTCAGAATCCTGTACTCRGGATGACAACTCAGGTTGGTGCATTTCTTTTTAAAAGAGAATCAGTTCTGGTTTCATTAACAAGTTGCAATAGAGAGGGCTTCAACTTTATTGCTCTGGAGTACACCATTAAGGGAGCACGAAGGTACCTACTGGGATGCTGAGAGAGCACACACAGCAGACAGCTGAAGAACAGCATTTCAAACTCCCCTCATCTTTGCTGGTTCTATTTCCCCTTTTCTGATTTTGGATTCTCCAATTTGATTCACRTGGGAGGAGAAATATTTAAAATTAGCTTTTAAGTTGCTACTGTATGAGTTATTGCAAAATAAGTAAACAAAGTCAAGCAAAATGGCTTTAGAGAGCTGCTAACAAAGCCAGACACCAAGCAGCAGGTCTAACCACAACCAGGGAAGAAAGTGGAACACGCTGATCAACTGCTCCACATAAAACCTTCTAGCACAAATCTGCTCGGTTCCTTTTTTCAGGAATACGAACGGACCCACACAGGCRAGCACCAACCAGCGGGGGCACGATGATGTAGAAGTTGCGCAGGTGCATGTTCTTCGGGCTGCGGAACTCGGGCGCAAAGACGTCCACCAGCATTTTGAAGTACTCCGTTCCCTCCGCAAAGTTGCGCGTGAGATCGCCGAGCACGGAGTCCAGCTGCCTGCCAAGAACAAGCACCGTGTTGGCTGCACCCTGCCCAGGTGCAGCTGCGTGTGGCCTGCCCTGGGCTAACACCGAGTTGCTTTGCGGGGTAACGACCCTCTCTCTAAGCTCGAGTTACATCCCCGGTCCGGCTTGCTGACTAGAGGATCTGAGATTGCTCCCCAACTACTGGGCAACCTCGGATCATGTTGGACTCATCTGATTTCCTCGTAACTCTCAGGGGTGTCAAAGAGGAGTCTAAAGATAGACTATATAGGCAGTACTTTTAATTTTCCCTTAAAAAAAAAAAAAGAAAAAAAAGGAGGAGGGGGAAAGGACCTATGCATTCAAGATATGGATGTCAGGCACTGGTGAAAAGAACATACGTTAGCTTTCAAGTCACAAGAACTTTATCAAGCTGGATTCTACAGCAGCGCAGTTAGCATAAATACCACAATGCCTTTAGCAATTTTGTAAGTATTGTTTCTATTTTCCCCCTTTTTGAAGARCAAGTATTTTTGCATAAAATTAAGTTGAACATCAAAACATCCCCCAACAATGTAAATTTTGTTGTAACACTTTTCAACGTCCCCCAAAATATAACTAAAAACTTGTGTTTCTCTAAAATTATAATTTTATTATCCCATTCCCTCCTCAGCCCTCCAAGCATGATGCTAAGGTACCTTGCTGCTTTTTGGGTTTCTTCTGAGAGCCCTTCTTCTTTCACTAGCTCTTCAAAATTAACAATATCTTCCAGATCAGGAACAAACCTGAAAACTTACTGTTTGTTAGAATTATGTTCAATTGCTTTTATTCACTGACGTATCTATTGTAATATATAATTTCATTAATAAGATATCTTGTCTTCTGGGCTCCCGAACTACATGCAAGTTATATAACATCTGTGATCCCTTTCTTTTAGAAGCACTATTAAATGCAAGCACAACCTGCATCACACATTTCTGCTTTTCCTAGGCTACCATCTCTTTTCTCAAGCATTTGTTGCYCTGGATAATTCACTGCCACTTGCCTACAACCAACCATTTCCTTGCACATAACAGTCACTAGATTTTAATGACTCTCTACGCTCATATAAGCACAAATAATCAAAGCAGAAAGAAGTATCAGATAGCCGTGAATTTTGTTTTTAAGTATTAGTTTTTAAGTACTATTTTTCYTTGATGCACCTAGACTCTCTTAAGAGTGGTTAATATCAGAACCTAGGAGTAATGACTTAAGTACACATTCTATAAAGTCCTTTTCGATGTCTTTCCATATAATTCATTTGATTCTTGGTGTTCCACAGCAATCATTTCACAGCTCCTTGGAATTCCGAAAACATTTCTCACACTCCCAGTGAGATGAAGGCATACAGATGAACCCTTGCTATTTTTATTCAAATGATACATTTACTTAGAGAGGACTAGAGGAACAGAACTTTTCTAGGGAATATCAGCAGGAATGAGGAACAAAGGAAGGGGAAAGTAGAAACAGAAAAATAAAATATTTGTGGCAGTACCTAATTGCACTGCTACAGCAATGAAGTCCACCAGATCTTATCATTCGCACGTAACCCATCCCATTGCCTTTAAAAACAAGAAAAAGGAGTTAGTTGGGTGTTATTATTTAATATGTGTACACACACACAYACACACACTYCACAACTCTTACCAAGCACCAAAACATAAATTTGCCGTAACCTTTTTGATAAAGAAATTGTTCTGAAAAAATAAGACAACACAGAGACAAGCAGGAGCGTGGAGAGAGGCTAAACCCTAGTGTCAGGAGTCCACTGGAAAAGAAAAGCACGAAGAAAACACACATAGCAAAGCTCCCATCTGTACTATTAGATAAGAGTACTGATTACACATGAGGTTCAAGTGTACTCCCCTCCATACAAGTGCTTTTGGCCTAAGCTWAAGTCCTGTTTATAATACACTATGAAAACTTTTCCAAAAAACCCTTTTAACATTATCTTACATAGGTTTTCATACCGATTTGACTTATGAGTTGTCTGAACTGGTCAAGGTAACTTTGGCCATCCGGGGTCATTCCAAGTTTTCTGATGCCTCGGTTGAATTTATCTGCTCTCTCAAAGGGATACTGGAGAAATTATTTTAGAAAAAATGTGTATGAATAACCACTTATCCATCAATACTTACACATATATACATTTCATATCAATACAGTTCTATCTGTCACACATCTCTACCTCGTAGCTACAGTTTCATTTTACGTATAAGTCTGCCTGTCTACATTTGTTTTCAAGGGCTGTTTCATTAAGTCACTTGTGAAAGCTGCACAGTGAAACAGAAGAGTTACTTTTATCTGAATAATACCTTGCAGAAATAAGCACTTGACAATCAAAAAAACTGCTAGTGTATTTTCTAATACAGTAAAATACAGTATTGTCTTGTTCTTTAGAAATCAATTTTCCTTCATTGGAAATTAGACCCAAATCTCCATTTATTGACACAGTAAATGCWACATGTTCATTTTGGCTTCTGTCTGAATTAATCTTACTATTCCAAACAGACAATTGTTGAACCAGAAGTCTGGGACCTACAATAGATGAATTGTGTCAAATCATCTTTTGCAGATCTTCGACAGAATGATTTTATCCAATCAACACAAAAAACATAATGCAACCATTCTGAAAATGAGAAAAGAAAATGCTGTCACTCTGTCTGGAAATACATATGCAAATAAAAAGGAAAGTTGTGACATTTTATGGTTTAGTGCAAGTTCAGCTTCACTTCYATGAAAGCAGCACACTTTTCAGCCGAGATATTCTCAATGCTTCCCAGGTTACTATACCTTGTGATCATTTTGATCCTTGACTTCCCTGAAGAATCTGATGTCTTTGATAAGCCTGGATTTGATATGCTCATCATACATGAACTGGCTAAAGATATAAAACTTTTTCCTCAAGAATTGGTAAGTGAAGTTCACCTAAAATAAAGTTAAAAGTCAAACTGAGAAAGTTAATAAAATAACATACAACCTTAGCAACTCCTCTTTAGCAGCTTCCTGAATAACTTGCATTTATGATAACACTATTTTCAAAATAGAAAATAGAAAATAGAATTAGAAAATAGAAATTAGAAATAGAAAATAGAAAACTGCCATAGTTTTAATTTATTATTCCTCACTCTTTTCCTGATCCTTTTACTTTCATTGTTTAAAAAAAAAAAAAAATTAAGAGTCTTCTTGTGAAAGGCTGACTCTCTTTCAGGAATGGCAGAAGAGATGGGGCATAAATTGGTCATTTCAGTACTTTGACCGGCCCAATATCGTCAGAAATATCCCGTTACTGTCTGTTCAAAACAAAACATTTCAAGTTGAAAAGGGCAAACACGCTCAACCTCCTCAGTCAAACTGTGGAGTCTGCACAACCTCTTGGTCCAGCTTTTCACTTCCATAAAAACTTCTTAGAAATATTCCTCCCTAAGGCAAAACCCATTTTCCCTCTACACATTAATTTTCACRTCTACCCAAACAACCTCAGTCAGAAGCAAACAAAGCTGCAACGCCTGCTTCAGGAAATACTGCAAAAAGCAGGACAACTTTTTCAGTCGCTCAAGTCACTGAAGTAAGCAAGACTTAACTACTCTAGCATCAAAAAGAAAACAGAGATCAACAGTGCAAGATGAGGCAGCACGAAAATCTTTTTTCCTAATCATTTCCACTTTCAAAGTAATGACCTGGGAGTCAGCTCAACGTTCACCAAGTTCCTTGCTTTATTTGTTGATAGARAACAGAAGACTGGGACAAAGAAAATAGCAAAGAGTAAAAATATAAGTAACAGATTTGAAAGTGACAGATTTGAAATCATCTGAGAAAACACTAAGCTGAACTTCAACCCTATATCTAAATATGAGAACAATGATAAATTCCTGCTGCAATAAATAAGCTACAGGAGGCTGCACTCATATTTACCATGCAGAAAGAAAAATTTTCTCTTCTGTTTAAGAAAWCCATCTGCATCACCAACAACATTATGAGGATTCTAGTAAGACTGAGCCTTCAAATAAATTATCATAGATCAGCAGTTTCCATTTCATTAATTGGAAAGCGGCTTTTTCTTAAGAATAATTAYTACAAGATCCACTTAAATTAACACTGCATTTCTTACCAAGATTTGTTTAGCAGCAAAAATACCTGCATAACAAGGACTAATAAGCAGCAACTTACAGTGTGTTAATTTATGCATGCAATTTAATGTCAAAATCCTGTAGCACATATTTGATAAATATTATTTTCATCATTATTTAATTCAGAGTTCTAACTCTGCTTCTACAGGTAYCTTTCTGGATCTCTTCAGTAGTTTGTATGCAGCAGCCAGTAGCAGCATAACTCCTAAGAGAATTTCTGATATAGGCTGCATGATTCCCAAGAACTGTTCTATTCAGTAATACACAAAACCAATCACTATTGTGTTATTGAAATTGCACAGTCAAACCCTTTGGTAATAGAAAAAGTTTGGAGGCTCTTTTGCACTATTAAAAGTGAATTTAAAAAAGGCAGAATATACTAATACACTCACTGTTGTGTTCATGATGCCTGTTCCGTGAGTTCGGATTGAATTAGCAATATGCCGGATATTGATAGTGTTCAAGTGTTTGTTATTACTAGTTCTTTCAATGAATATCTAGGAAGAGAAAAAGAAAAAAGAAATTATTTACCCCAAACAGACCTCACGATAGATCAACAGTCTAGGTAGCCCACACATCAAATCAAAAAGCAGCCACTAACTGTTGCTTAGGGCTATGCATATGATGAACTCTACCCTGTACAACCCTCCAACCTCTGATGATTTAATGTTTCAAAGAAGACACTTCATCCAAACTCTCCTGTTTGAGCCCATCYTTCATGAACGGGTCTAATTTCTTTTGGCCCCACTGAATGAAATATTATTAGAGAAAGCATTTGCTTTTCTTTCAGCTGCTCAGTTTCAGAGAGGGCACCTCACACAATCAACAGGAGATTATTCACGTTCTCCATATCATGCATGACTTCTCTTATAACCCCTCCTCAGATATTCTTATTTCAAGACAAAAAATAATGGATGCACAATATGCCCTTAAATAGCAGCCAATCGTGCTTGCAACCTCCTCTTCTTTACTGTAACATTTGCGATGGGTGATCCTACAATATGCAACTACATTCAAAGAGTATTCTCAGAGATTATCTATAGTGTCCCCAAAGTTTTTCCAGAGCTGTAACTGCCACTGTACAACTCATCACCAAGCATACGCAGCTGGGCACACAGTCCTACACATACCTACTTTGCACTGCTCAAAGCCTTCAAACTACAGCCAAACTGAAGGTGCAGAACATACTTTACCTGATTATTCAGATTGTAGAGGTAGCGAGACACAAAAACATGAATATTTCTCATGATTTCCAAAACATCCAGACCCTGAAACAATATTATCTATTGAGAAACTTTATCACAGTTTTTCTCAGTAACTATCGAGATGCGTAACTGCCATTTCTATAGTCCCTTGAAAACATTCAGGGAATCGGCATTTTCCCTCTTCAACATTAATAAAAAAGAAACTACACAATTTGTTTTCAGTGCTTATAAGCTGTCACTTGGAAAAACAAAAAAAGGCAGCTAAGCTTATACATTTAATTTATACTTCTGCCTTTAGCTTTCCCTAAAAGCAAGGGATCAATTCTACCTGGCAAGTCAGAAAAAAAAACACTGATAGATTAGGCTGTTCTCATATAGCTATTTTTTGATTTAGTTTTCTTCATTCTGTTTAGAACACTGACATTTTCTATTTGTTATTTAATCTGAGGACTCTGTTTCCAGTCAAGGACTGTATCAGGATTTTTCTGGCTTTGTTTTCTTTGTTACCTTAAAATAGATAAAGCTCCTGGTGGGATCAATGTTATGAGAAAAAAATATTGAGAAAAAAGAATTCTCTACAACACAAATTTGATGTCCAAACATTGCTAATAGAAAGAGAAAAAGCCAAAGTAAGAAAAACTATAAGGAACTGTACTTTGTTTCAATAAGGAGAGAAGTAACCAGAGTTTGGGTTTTCTCTCCCAACTTCAGAAAGCACAGCCTCTGAGAACACGAGAAATGGAAGCTGTATAAAGAAAAGCAATGTATCTATAAACTCTTGAAGAAAAATCACTATAAATACATAAATTGTACTTCTTTTGCACCCACTCATCAAGTAAGTTGGCCATTAACTTGACGAAACACTAACTTCATTCTACAGGTAACCATGGTTAGGAGTTTCTAAGAGGCTCTAGGTCACTCTTCTAATAAGCTAAACGGAGGCCTCAATTTTGTAGATGTCCAGACTATTAAACACTGGCCCTCTTAGTGACTGACAGGCAGAACCTGATCAGAAGCAGGCAATGAAGCAGGGAAAATATTAAACGTGGTGTTAGAAACCACAGAGACTTCACAAACGCAATATGAAATTAACTGATGCTGGTTCTAAGTATTTCCAAAGAACGGTAAGGCCACGTCTCAGAAGTCATCAAGAAATTAGGCACTGTGGGTGTTTTTTTTCCCCTTCCAAGCAGTTCTCCAAATTTCATTTTAACCTTTGAATAGCTCTCTAGGATGACAATGCAATAGCACAATTTATTATCCTATGGAATCGCACCTGTTCCAGAGTCTGGCTGGGAAGATGTGCTTCAGTCATGTTCAAACCATATCGCTGAGTTGCTAGGTTTCTCATTTCACTATAGGTAGCCCAGTCATGAAGAGCTACAGTTGTTAAGTTGTAGAAGGTCTTGTCCAAATAGTGTGTCACATAAGCTGTAAACACRCAAAAAGATTAACTAAAATAGCATACATACGTATGCTACATACAGAGCAAATTTGGGAAAAAAAAGTAAAAAGATGCGCTATAACCAAACTGCAAGAGAGAGAAAATAATGGTAGGAAGAAAAGTTATTACAACTCACCTTTTATGTCAATGAAGCGATTGAAAAAACGTATCGGGTTCAGAAAGAAGAAATGAGCTAGATCCTTCATACCAACTCTGAAGGGATTTCTGTCATCAAGTTTTAGGTGTGTATGAACTGACAGGCGTAGGTCTTTTTCTATCTCTTTACATAATTTGTCCAGCAGGTGCTATTTAGGTAGGTTTGGAAAATAGAAATCAAAAGACTGTCAACATCCACTYGCAATGTTCTGTTGCCAGAACTAACATCTCTGCACTGCATAAAWGCACTGTATAAAAGATTGTATAAAAGACTGAGCAAATAGTGAAGACCGTTTTGCCATAGAGGGATACACAAGTGAAAGTGAAATAAGAGTTCATACACAAGATGTTCACACTACATAAGAGTTCAACACAATTCAAATGTCTTTTCACTTTCATCTTAAGGAGAACCAAGCTTATGGCTATTTATCTAGAGAAATCCTTCCAAATATGAATCTGGAAAATATTGCACTTATGAAGTACTTTCATACAGCACAAGAGGTGCATTATGGTCTCTTAACTAAGACCAGAGAAATTTAGGAAATGCTCAAGGCAATAAAAGATGTTTAGTGCTCAAAAAGCAATGTCTGTCCAAATCCTTCCCCACATACACAAAAGCAATGAACTGTAACGACCTGAATAAGTCTCCTAAAGTGCTTCGTTAYGAAAACACAGTTTCATGTTTATATTTGAACAGACATTCTCTTCTCCTAACACACACGAACCCTCCAAATACAGATTCAGCAATCCATGGACATTAGCAAAATACAAATCATCTTTTGCAAAGCAAAGTGGCAAAGCACACGTGGAAATGACACTGTGATATCAGCAGGCAGAAGGAAGCTGTTCTCTCCCCAAGCCCTGTAGTCTATTTACAGCTAACAGGTTGAGAAGACTTTTTTCCCCTGTGTTTGTAATGTGTGCACTCCTTATAAACCCTAATTCTCATATATGGAGCAGGTTTCCAATAAAAGAACAGAAAAGCTTTGCAATATGCAATTTGGCCTCACCTTCAGCAGAATATTAGTTTTTGAGCTAGTCTAAATAAAATTCTTCAGAAGTTGAGTCCTAGGGCCAACAAAAAAGTGAATTCACATTTACACTCTGTTAAGTACCCTTTGTAAWTTATGCAATAGCCCTCTTAGAGGCTATTTACACAGCCTCCACTTGAAAGAGACAGATACATAAAGCTAACAAAAGAACATTCTTTCTGCAGTAATACAAACAGAAATGGGCGATACAGAATTCTTGCCAGCCTATTTAGTACAATCCAGAGCACAATATTTTCATACCCTTAAACAACACTCTTAACCATTAATACCATTAATAATAATTTTATAGACTATATCAAGTTAAGTACCACGGATGTGGGCCTAAACAATATTYCAAACATACTGTTGCCTTTAATTCCCATTCACAATAAATTACCTCATTGAGCACTTCCATGATTTCTTTGTCGTAGCATTCCAGAAGAACCTCATAGGATTCCAAGTGTCTTGCGTGCATCATAGCAGGTACACAGTCTCGTAGTGCACTAAACATATACTGAAAAACAGCTGTTATGCTTAACCAACAGACTAGCAGGCTGCCAAGAGCATCGTGAATGACATTCAAAGCTAACTTAAATCAGAACCTCTCATCTTCCATCATTATTGAAAACAAGCCTCAGAAGTTCAACTAAAGTTCCTCTTTTGTTTAATCTGAGGTTTTCATTTGTCACTGATTGGTTAACTGAAAGGTTTTAACTACTGACAATTTCACCTCAGGCAATTTCCACTGGCAGTATTTTAATGCCACTATTAACCACAGCATGCACAATACTGGATCAGATAATGGATTCTATCAGGATAAGCATGCCAAGGTATGAATCATTTTTTTTACAGCAAAAACTTATTGCTTAAAAAGATGAGGCGACAAAGGGGAGAAGACCAGGACAACTATTTCATGCAGCATCACTGAACACTGCAGCAAGTGCTTTAGATGCATCTAAACCAGACTGTGAGAAAAAAAGCTAGTGTTAAAGTTCATCAATAGCTGCCTTTTTCCCATTAGAACAAATAAGAGAAGAAGTGAGAAACATAAAGAGTTAACTCCAGAGTTTTACAGAAATCTAAAAGATATACTTTTGTTAGACTTGCCCAAATTTGTACATAATCTGTAGCTAACTCTTGCCTGAGCATGTTTTTTTTTCACTGAAGATTTTTCTTGAAGAGTTTCAGTCAAGCTCTTTTCCTCTTCTCCCATCCCTCCCATTACAGTGTCCTGTTAAACTAAGTTACTCACACTGTTACTTACATGCAGTCTAGCAGAATCAACAGCATTTTCATAGACGTCATCTAAGTAGATCGGGAAGACTGCTCGATGCCAGTATAAGAAACAACAGTCACATTGTGCTTGAACGCTAGAACACAAGATTACTGCTTGGGCACAGAACCAGAGGAAGTCGTTCTTCTAGCATAACAATATGTATTTTAGTGGCTTTAAACTAAAGTCAACTGCTTTTCAAGTTTAAGTTTTACATGGTTATCCTAATTTTGCAGATGCTTTGTCCTTTAAAAGAAAGTTTAAGTTCCATTGGCTTCTTTATAAACAAACAGTACAGCTGCTTTAGCAAGTGTTTACTCGACCTCTGAAAGAACTGAATCTTACACTACAGCAATATCCTAAGTAATTCTCTTGAACTCAGCAATCATATTGATCTAACCTAACTTCAGTAGCAAAAAAGTCAAGCACATATTCTAGCTTTCTATCATTAAGACAGAAATGGGAAACTATCTYCTTATCACAGCCCATGTGCAGCAGTTGGTTCATCCTAGGATAAGCCATGTGTTTAAGGTTTTTGTCTCTCTTCATGGAATATGCAGGCATCCCAGGCGTTCACTTGGCTTTTCAGATAGTTAATGTTACATAAATTGAGTGTCACTTAAAATGACAGCAATAGTAAAAACTGGTGTCACAGATGGACCAACAGCCTCCTCTTCTAAACTGACTGGTATCATCTCATTACTAATCTTAACAGAAGCAGCAGAATGCCACAAGTAGCTGAAGCAAATTTCAAGTTTTAAGAATTGACTGTTTAACTTTGTCTCATGGCCAAAGTAATAGCAGCTTTGTAAGCTATCAGCTTCTATGCATACAGTAATATTTATGAGTAGGTCTCATGACACTCCACAGGTGATTATCGAGGTTGGGTAGACAGGAAGACTGTAGTTTAGCAGAGAGCCTAGTCATCTACATGTCCCAGGARGTGACAGAATCTAAAAACACTAAGAAGAGTGCATTACTTAAATGCTACCAGTTAGAATAAAATGTGACTTGCGTCTCCTGACTAAAAATTAGTGACTGGAAACTGTCACTGTAGAACTGTGTTTTTCTGTCCATCCTTGGTGTACAATACGTGCAAATATGACCACCAGCACGCAGCTGCCAGATTTTTCAATTTGCATCCTTAAGATCCAGCTCCTGCAATCACACTATGCTGCCTCCTACCCGTCACATGCTACTACTTACCGCTCCACAAGCTCACTGATCAAGTCTAGCTTTTTCAGAACTAACTGAAGGGGAAGGAGTTCTTCATCTTTAAAAGTTTTCTGCGTAAAAGAAACAAAAGAATAAGATACTCGATAAGGTGTTGCATGTAACCAAGGGAAGGTTGGGAGCAGTCCTGACAGCACTTACCATCTGCGTTCCCACACTCAACGCAAGGGAAACTATGAGGCGCCTCTGTTTCGTGCAGGGTCCGTTGAGGGTGTTCTCAGCCAACACCAAAGCAGAGAGAACATCCAGGCGTTGTTCGCTGTACTTCTTATCAGAAATGACTCTTTTCTTGGTGACAGAAAGACAAAGAAGTTATCTAAGCCAAAAAGCAAAGAGCTGATTTCTTCCCCTCAAGATTTATGGACTTGTCACAACACAGTATTTCTGCAAACAAASCAGGTTTTGTGAACCGAGCTAACGGAATCTAGTTCACCTCTTCTCTCGATTTAGTGGTCTATTTTCATATAATCTAGGAATATCTGCAATTCAGCAAAATAGATCAGGCCACTGCATATAAAAACCATGTAAACTACATGCCACTCCACGCTAATTTCTATTGGTTCTAACTCTATGATACCTGCAACTTAAAAATGAGGTAGTAAGGATGACTACTTGCCATTTCTTACAAATTGTAGTTTATAAATTGCAAAAACATCTCCATGAACAAACAACAAGAATCGGATCTTTGTCTAACACGTTCCTTTGAAAGATGTAGCTGCAAATAGCACCATAGTTGAGAAAAGGTACAGTATCACAGAAAAGCTAACAGAAAGAAATCCCCTTCAGTTTTAGGAGAGCACACTCAACATGAAAACCCTATTTGTAAATGATGAAGTTATGGTGGATATATGCTTTAGAGCTTACATCATTTAGAAATGTGATTAGCAAAAGACAGAGCACAGCAAATAACATTGGCAAAATGAGCACTAATGAACTCTATTTACCAGTCCTGCCTTTTACTCATTTTAAAACGTAAAGATCAGTTCAGAAAACAWCCTCCTTCACTCTTGTCCCCTTGATACCCACTCAATACACAAGTTTYAACATATTTCTATCCACTTAAAAACATTACTTACAGGATTCAGTATTAGAATTCAGGCTACATACCTTAGCTATAGAAATAGAGTGAAGAGCCTGGTACTGCAGATGCTGGGTGATGTGTGTCACCGAGTCTGCCACAACCATACTCCTTCGGTAAAACATGTGCTCTATTGCCTAAAGTGAAAGCCAGAAGCACAGTAGGTCATGCTGCTCCTGACAGCACTGCCTTTAGAATTTCTTTTCAGGCTTGCTGACTCATCCACGCTGTAAATATAGAGTTTATCTCCARAAGTAATGTACCATTATTGTAACAACAATTAACACTCAGCACCTGAAAAAAGTCTAATTATTGAGGAACGTAAAAAGAGATGAGTGAGTAAAAAGAGATGATACTTTTTTTTTTTTTAATTGATAATCCAGCTCTGTAGCACATAAACTTGGGAATCCATCTTCAAAAGAACGATGGAGGAAGTTGGTTAGAAAATCAGTTCTGGTCTCCCAAACRTTATTTTTCTCTAACCAAATCCAGTCTTGAAGTAGAAACCACGTAAAAACACTTCCTCACTCAGTTTCTGTAACGTGTGGTATTTGACTACATTTCTCTGTGCACGCCTAAATGAAACAAACAGTTCGATCCCGCAACCCACCTTGAGAAGTTCCACAAGTCTGCACAGAGCTTTCACTGATGTTTTGGTCATAGGTTTTTGCATTGACATGTAGAGATTCATTGTGGTCTTAATGATGGTGCTAAGACTGTATGCATAAAGAAAACCCTAAAAGTAACAAGAGGGGTGGGGAAGAGACTTAATGAATTATGTTCACAGTATGTCAACCAAATAAATCCTCTCTGTTTTCTTTCGTACAGGACAGACAACCAACTTCTGCCTCTCCACACTAGAGCYCTCCAGTACTCTCTCACCTAATAAGCAAGCTTGGGTTTTCCTATAAAGCTGAACAGGATCTAGCCTAACACAAACACAGGTTAAAATTTACAGATTCTAAAAAATCCATAAACTGACACTATTTACAGTATTCTCAACTTTCTAAATGGAACTATCTATTCCACAATAAAAGAAAGGGAACAGTGTCTACAGTAATATTTTTCAAAGTTTCCTAARCTTTTAAAATAAATTGTTGACTACATACAGCAAAATTAAAATATCATCCAAGTTATTTCAAACGAAAGAGCTACTGTTAAAAAAAAGCAGAAAAAAAAAAGTGGTCTATGCAACTTGATTCCTTACAGACTAACTCTACACAAGTCCACTGCAAATAACAGAAAAAGAAAAAAAAAGCAAACCCAAGTATGTGTATGTTCTTACAGACTTAAGATTCCGGATCATATTTTCATTATACAACTATTTTCATCAGATCTCTGTCAAGAAGACATATCAAAACTAGGCAAAAAATAATTCAGATATGGGATGTCATCTCACAGTAAGACTACATATAGTTAATAAGCCAGAAGAAAACCAGMTGCCTCAGAATGAAGTTAGATTCTTGCAAAGTACTATCAACAGGCAAAGCACAATGATACAATACAAACAGTTTTATTGGAAGCATAAACCCTGCTAACTATGATTAAATTAAGCACTGGTTCAAAACCACTTAAATATCTCATTACTAACATAAAAGACAAACAAACAAATAAAAAAAACCACAAAGTCAAAAGAAGGAACTGGAATTTTAGCAGTTGAATATTCAGTCCCATATACTTTCTCCACATGCTTTATGGGAGCACCTTTTATAGAATTACTTAGAGCAGTATCTACTGGTCATTTAAAATATAAAGTTCCCACATTGTAGAGAAACATATAGACAATCACACAGCTTGACTAGTTTTCACGTTCAACTTGCACAAACCCAGGCTTTTTTACTCAAGCCAGCACCACACTACGAGACTGCTCACCTGAATGAAGACATTGCAGCGGTGAGAAAGATCTTCAGCAAACTTATCCATCCGTTGCTCCTTCGTYAACAGCGATTCCATTTTTGTCATCCACGAGCTCACAAAGACGTAATACGACTGCATGTCTCTGGAGAGGGAAACAAAGCAGGAGGCTCATTTCACATAAGACGATGATTTTCTCTTCTCTTGCCAAAGTTTAAATGCTTCCAAAGAAATATGCATACACATAATATGTTTTATATAGACTTTTTTTTTTTTAATGTGGAAGTGTTGAGTCTCCAAAGTAAAAGCTTGATCTGTTTCCCAATGTATCAAAACTACATTTACCCATTTAAATTTTGCTTCTCTACAGGTAAGGATTAATCTGTCAATTTTATCTGTACCTGCGTAATCCAAAAGACAAAACTGTAATTTGTATCTCTTACTCTCTGAAGACAAAAAAAGGTCTTCTTGGCAAGACACATACACTTTGAAATTAAAACAGTAAACAAAGCTGCTAGAAAGTGCTTTTAAAAAAAGATGACATATATCAAATGCTATTTTTTCCCACTGAMGTTTGAACTTTTTAACATAAATAATGTGTCATTACTGCAATGTCAGCCTGAACTGTAAAATTTCTGATACATAACATACTTCTCCAGAAGATAATCCACTTGGATTGTGCTGGTTTAAATTAAGCAGAATCCACCTGTTCAACTGCTATTTATTTCATGCTTCACACCCGTGACAGTGCAACACTACTTACTGTAACAAATATAGTAGGAACTATTCAGGTCACTAATGACACATCAGAAGTTACACTTTAGAAAGTATATTTAAGGCAATAGCCTTATTATGGAGCCAGACTCTTTTCAGTGGTGGCTACTGACAGAACTAGAGGAAACAGCCACAAACTGAAGCACCCAAAGTCCCACAGGAACTTAAGGAAACATTTCTTAACAGTGAGGGTGACAGAGCCCTGGAACAGGCTGCCCGGAGAGGTTGTGGAGTCTCCTCTGGAAAGCTTCAAAAGTCCCTTGGATGCAGCCCTGTGCCCGTGCTCTAGGTGACCCTGCGTGTGCAGGTGGGTTGGACTAGATGACCTCTAAAGGACCCTTCCAACCTTAAGGATTCTGTGATCCTATGATTCTGTATCAGTGATATAGGATCAGTTAATATGAAGCCTTTTTCTGCAACTCAGTTCTGCCAGCTTGCAAGCAAGTTGGAAGACAGCTGAGGAAAACCTGTGAAATTTTCTTCCACGGGCACTTTCCACCTCCTTGTTTTGGCTTGCAAGACAAATAGGAACCTTAAGACATGTTACCTCCCCATAAAGAGTATCGTCATTATGGCAATGTTGACAACTCAAAAAGTAAAATCTACTTACACACATTTTGAAAAGAATTTAGGAAAAAATTTGAGAGAAAGACACTAGATGCAGAGCACAAGCACCAGTGAAGGGAAACCCCCCTGCAAGCTAGTCAACCTACTAAAGGTTTCCTCACCATAAACAGGCTGAAATTAGGGAGCTCTGTTGGAAAAATACAGCAGCTAAAGTTAATAGACACTAGTTAAAATAGTAAATTAGAAGTGCTGAAATAGAAACAACTGGAACAATCAAACGTTTAGAACTCCTTGAAACTTTGTGATTTTGATATTAAAAAAAAAAAAAAGACAAGTATTTCTTAAAGCATAACATGAAAAACCCTTGTTTGTGAGTGGCACATTTTCAACAGCACTAGGACACACATAATGCAGTGAATATCACTACATAAGATGTTGGTGCAATGAACGAATATAAGCACACAGTTATAAACTATTCACAGAAAAGCACAATGCAACAATATTTAGCAAACGTACTTGGTGAGTGACTGCGCCTTTTGCTGTAGAAAATTCTCCCTTTGCATTTTAACTGCATGGATRCTTTTCTTATCCAGAAGTTTTGCAGCTGCTGGTGTCTTCTGAACCAGAAAGTTATCAGCAAACCATATAATGTTAGCAGTTAATGTGATGGCTGGTACCTGGAATGGAAAAGGGGAAAAATAAAAAAATTAAAAACTAAACATTCTGAAGTAGCTGCCAAGTCTAAGTAATTACAACAAATACCATGCTACCATGTACAGGARCAGTCTATTTATTTAACAAATATGTTTTGACACTCCTTTTTTGAACTGTATTAAGCAGTTCAGTTTATTTATGTATCACTGGTTTATACAGCAAAGGTCAAACCTTCAAATAATTAGTTCAGTCCCACAACACTCAGATCTATAAATTTCTGGTTTTATTCTCACTGCCACATTGGTCTTGAGAAGAAACATGATAGTGGAAATTTCAAGTCATTTTACCTTGCCGATGACTAAATCTAAAATGAACAGAGGGGAGGGATTATAATGAAGCAGAAAACTATTAAGTCTGCTCCCTGAAACTTTGCAGTAAATTGTGTTTTCTTGCTCCAAGTCTTAGCTATGCTACATTTTAAGAGAATAAAATTATCTATGTCATTACTGATGTTATGACTCTATGATTCCTCTTAATTACTGACAGCAGAGTAAAACATTCACCTTCTTGCAGACATCTAACAGCGACTTGTAAAATTTCTTGTCTATGGTCCGAAAAATCTGAAAATGCAACACGAAGAGGCCGCAGATTCCTACATATTTATCCCTCTGRTCTATTTCTGAAGGTTCACCTGCAGGAACACAAGCGCAAAAAACAGCATTTTGGAAGTCTCATCCCAGATAACCAATATAAGAACTTTTAGAAACAAGGAGGTTTGTTTGAGAAGCATGAGCAGATTATTACCAAGTTTCGTTTCAATGTTTGCAAAAATTGTGCGCAGGGTATGAGCAAATTCTTCAGCAAATGTGCTGTTCTTTGACACGGACACGCCACCATTTATGGAATCAAACTGTTGTTCTATACAGCCCTGGGCAAAAAGGAAAGGAAGATATATTTATAAGGTTAATGTCTATTATGCTAGACCTCAAAGAATACTGACTTGGGAAGAGAGAACAACGATCTATATCATACAACATAAATCTGAACGGATACTCTTTAGTTAAACATAGCTAAAAAACAAGGTTTTGTGAAATTTCGTGTTTTCAGTCTGGTATTCCATGCCAAATAACCCTCCTCGCTACATCTAGCATTCAAATAACCATTTTATCTATTTATTTAACTTTTCTGTTAAGCAGTATATTTAAAGAAAACATATAATGCCTTACTGAGAAACTAGATAAATAATGATTTTTCTGTATTATAATGAACTATCAACTATCCACTAAGTAAGCAAGATTAAATGCAAGCTACTTTTCAGAAAGTCATGACAGCCTTTTTTCTTGTTTAGTCTTCCAAAAAGACATATGCCTCCTTATGTTCCTGCTTTGATTTTTATTTCATATAATCCCAACAAATTTTTTGGTAAAATACTCAGAAAATATTTCAAGTACTTTTATTTTCATTAGGAATGGGGGGAAAAATTCCTTGAAAGAATGTTAGACATATCTTACTAATATCTCAAATGTAGCATGAAGTCTTTATATTAATGCAACATCAGAGAAAGTTAAGATGGTAGCTGTTGCTGGTAATCTTTGAAAGGAAATGCTAAATGGCCTTTAATGACTTATGTACCATTTCTCTTTGGGGACCGTTCCAGAAGAAAACCACCTTCTCCYACCCATGTAGGATGTAACAGAAAGGCTCAAATAACGGCCCTGTTCAAGCGTCTCCACTGTAACCAGATTCAGCAGTGCTGTCCACTACGTCCAATGCCACCACATCCAATTTTGCTCTGAGATAGAAGCTCTTTCCTAGAAAATGGTTTCTTCTATGAACACACACTTAAACATCGCTCTATCCCGAACAACCTCAGAAGTTAAAATACTGACAGAAGGTCAAAACCTTCTGAAACAGCATTTTAGAAATGGTCTCATCTAATCTGATCGTTTTTCCTGTCATTGTGGGAACAGCTTTTTCCTTACCTGAAATATCATTCCATCCAGTAACTGGCATTCCAGTTTCAACAGCAACTTTTCAAACGGTTTCAATTTATCTTCTTGAATCCCAAACTTTGAAGGGTTGTGATGAACAGATTTCAGCAATCTGTGAGTGAGAAAGGGGAATGACCACACAAACAAAACAATTAAAATAGGCTAAAATTCTTTCATCCTGCATTGTTTTGGTGAATCTTCCATTCTGTGAAACATATAATTTACTGTCTACATCTGTGCCCAGCAGCAACTCCAAAATTAACCCTTCCCCAACTCCCAAACCACACTAGCATCCAGATAATTCCTATCTATTGACATTTTCAATTAAATGGTTATTTCCCGTTAATTTAACTACCTATATAACTGCTGATTCTTCAAAGGGGATCTCAGGGAGAGGGGGGAGCATATTTTCATCTTTTATGATGTGGGATTATTTTTCACACCTTCAGAGACACACCTCTTGTACATAGTCCAGTGATCTTTGAGAGTGGCATGATTGTCAATTATTTCATCCAGGGTGATTAACACCATCAGCAATTCCCCCAGGTGCTCATACATTGTCTGTTAAAAAACAATCTGTGGTTATGAAGCAATTTATTTCAATGGAACAGGACAGATAATATTTCCGTTTGTTTCAACATTGTACGAGCCAATAAGAGCTAAATCAGAGATTTCTTATTTTGGTAACTTAAAAATCAAGTACAGAACAGAAGCTTGCACACAGGCCTCACTAGTATAAGTATACTTATACTAAGTATACTGCTCTAACTTGACAGTGAAGGTAGAAGCCTCTGCATGCCCAAGCACACACTGCATACACTATTGGCACGTGCAAATTCGTAAACTAGGAAAGCTGGAGTCTGACACACGTGCAGGTGCCAACCCTTTCCACATAAAGGGAAAAAAAAAGCCGATATGCTGATTAACRAAGTAAAACCTTTAATCAAGACCTCAGATTAAAAGTTGTACTTGAAATTCACTTTCTTGCCACTTTTTCCTAAGTATTAATGATTAAGGCATAGATACTCCAACGTAAGTTAATTGCTCCTACCTGAAAATGAACTCCCGACGTCTCTATAATTTTTGGTGCATTCCTGTAAATATAATAAATATCTTACCATCTTTTTAATCCTTAAAACAGAGGATATTTACCAATTCCATATTACTATTTTGGGAATATATTTTTCTTCATTAACAGAGTAACTCAGAATATAATTAGGAGCATACACTGTGTGAAATCTGTGTGCTACTATCAAATTTAATATTGCTTTTTCTGAATGCACAATATGGCACTAGATCAAACCACAGATTTCATTCACTGCACACATACCAGCAATTCCCAACTAGGCTAACCGCATGCTGCACTTCTACAGCCATTCAGCTGAGAGGTCTGGTATCACGTCTCAATTTTAACCAAGCAAAATCCAACCTATAAATCTAGGCTTGTTCATTCAGCACTGAACAGAAAGTCTATTTTGTGCAGCAATGTTAAGTTAAAAACAAACAAACAAACAAAACCAAAAAAAAAAAAACCCAAACCCCCCAAAACCCCATACAAATAACAAAGAAAATGATAGTGCTATCTTGGTTGGGAAAAAAAAAAAAAAAACGCAATTATATTCTCCTCTAACAGGATTTTCAGACACCAAGAGCTCTACACTTATCCGTACAAACTATTTTGATAATTAAGCCCTCTTAACTACTATCTCAACAGTAAGGCATTCATCTGTAGTGTGTGTGATCTAGCATTTATTCTTATCCTGTCATCTAAAGACACTTATCATGATACAAAGTAGACCTGCAACTACCATGAGCTGATTTTAGCCAACACAAAAGATTGGTTTTCACAAAAGCTAAACCCATCAGACTTCATGTGTGGAAATCATGACAATGCTGTGAGAAATGTATACTCAGATTCACAATATGAAGACAAGCAGCATTAGCATCCATAATAGCTGTTACCGAAAGATACATTTCAGACAGTAATTACTTGTTGCTGGTATAGAGAACAGCCAACTGATGCACAACATTCACCACCACTTCATAACACCGGGTAACAAAGCAAGATAACTCCTGAAAGACAAAGAATACAATAAAATAAAATGCATATGTATGTGTAGACCTCATTATACATATTGCTTTTAAAGCATGGAGTGTAAACCCCTGAACGTGTAGCCCAAGCTCCAAGTATCTTTCCTAATCCAAGTCAGTAGTCAGACCCACACCAGGATGCTGAGCTTTATTCTAGACACTACCCTACAAAGTATTTGCAGTTAAGAAGCAACTGAATACAAACTCTCAGTACAACTTGCATTAAAAAGAGATGAATGCGCAGCGTGGTCATATAAATAGAAGGAAGACAGAAGTGATTTAACGGCCGCAAACAGCTTTAGCAAGTTAGATACTGAAACACCATGTTTGATACTCAAGACTTTATGTTTTAAAGTGATACTGAATCTTTGGAGAAGGTACARGCAAAAGTCACCATGAGAAAGTTCAACAGGCTTACAAGCTTTTACAGAAAGATCTTTCAAGTGTTCACTTTATTAAAGACATTAAGAGGTCTTAACTACGAAAAACTACTACAACAGTTTACAAGTAGCCTCAGAGGATAAATTCCTACCAGATTCAATAATTAAAACAAAGTCAGCTGTGATATTGTAAAGAACTGATCTTGATTTCTGTAATGGATTTTAACAAGGTGTTCCTTGAACAGTAGAACAAACAACTGTGGATTTTCTTTAAGCACAGTAACATTGCTCACTAATGTCCCCTATACTGCCAGCAGGCGAGGCAGCAGGCGCTCAGCCTGGCCTGCACGTCGCACAGATGTCTCCAGACCAGAGAGCCCAGGCCAGGCTGAGCAGCCGGCCGGCCGGGGCTTGCCAGAATTCTGCAGGGAGCAGCTGAATTCTGCCTCCCCTGCCCAAAACACACCGTGTCCAGGTCTCTGCCTTCTACTTGTCACCAGTTTGCACAAAATTTGGAAGTATCATTGATTCCTATAATTCTATTCCTCTTTTAAATGCAGCTGAAAACAGCCAGCAGACTCCAGAGGAGCAGATCAAAATATAATTGAGATCACATCATTTCCTGGGAGGGCTAAAGCGAAATCAGCCCAGAGAATTTTAATTCTATTTTCTCATCCAGAGACCATTTACAGCTTGCATATTACTGTCCTGGAAGTGCAATCAAGCAGAGAAATTTCACTTTTTATTCCCCATCCACTTAAAAATGTTGTTTTGGGTCCTAATGCTCTTATCCTTAAAAAATATATAATTTAAAAAAGTCAGACCTAGCTGCCATTTTAAAACCTTCAGGAAAAGGTCCAATTCAGTAGCACATACTTATCAGTAGCAACATAGTACAGAAAATGGCCATGTTGACAGACTTCAAATACACAGTATTCTGTAGGATCAAAAGCATCTATCAGTGTTACACCGCATTATTTTGATTTTTTTTTAAGTTTACACAAAATTTTAGGCTTTACATCCAGTTAATTGAGCTGTCAATGCTCTCTGGACACGAAGTATTTCCCAAACTCTGGATAAAGACAATCATCTGAGTGGATTTACAGGAACAAAACAGAGGAAAAAATAGGATCAACATGGAAAAAGATTTCCTCATAGCTTCACTAATATAAACCTGCATTAACATTCCAGGAGCTTCCTGTATCTTCTCTATTTTGATATATATACTTTATTACAAGCAGATTATGTAAGAAAATTTAAAAAAAAAGGGGAATAGAAGAGTGTTAAACCTTACAGAACTTACAGGATTCACTTAAAAACTACCCGAATCCAGGATAGACTGAAATGGAAGAGCACAGGAAATCCTCGGGGAAACACAGATCCTGTTCTAATGCAAATAACCCTGATAACAACAAAACTGTCTCTGAAAGGAGTGTTCTCTTAAAGTTTGAGGTGTAAGTAATTTTTTTCCAGACTCATATTTTAATTTTGCCTCCTCCTACCAGCTAAACAAAGATTTATATTAAAAAAGCCCAATTTTCAATAAAAAAATAAATTTGTCACTCAAAACCAAACCAAAACAAAAAAAAAAAAACTAAATTCCTTGTCAAATGAAGCAAGCTCAATTATCTTCGTTTGTTGAAATTTGCATARGCAAATTCTAATTTCTCTGAACAATGATTACAAATACCACAATTCCACAATTTCATACAAGTATAAATGAAAAAAGAGCAACAGAAGATCACACTAAGTTAGAGAGTTCTGTGGTAAGGGAGCTCATGGTGGCTGCTCTGCAAACATACAAAAAGCACCATACAAACATATCAAATAACTAATTTTTTTCCAGCAAGACCTAAGCAGGACGGGTCAGACAGTTAAATTCTTTTTCCAAATACGATTAAGGCTGCAACTGCCAACAGAACCAAAATATACTCTACCTGCAAGAAAGAAACAAATCTTCCCATCTGKATTTGGCAATCTCCCTCCACCATGCTGGAATCTGTGGCTTGAAAGACAAAGATGTGTCACTACTTTCAAAAGCCCATGTTAGACCTATTCATTTCATTATGAAGCTTGACCTCAGAGGGTTTTTTTTTTTTTTTGTAATGAAATTGGAGCATATTTTAAAAAGACAATTATACCTGATGGGAGTCTTTTAAGTTTTTGTTTTGATTTCTTAAGGTAGACATATTTTTAAAGTTTTGTCTCAATATAAATTATAGTATGTATTACAAATACGCAGCATTTCTAACAAAACAGGAAAACAAAGTCTCCATCACATGAAAGAGTTTTTAAAAATATGGAATGCAATTCTTGCAGGTATTTATTTTGTGTAACTTCATATCAGTGTTTCCATTAATACAAGTCTGTGAAAGCACTAGGTATTTGTCCTGTAAGGAAGGTCTAGTGMTATGGTTATTAAAATAAGATGCTGCAGTTATTAATCACTGGAAAAATGAAAAAAAAAAAGTGTAGTGTGCAATTTCTTCCAAGAAATTATTTGTCTTTTCTAAATATTAACCAGTGCCATGGCACTGGTTCATTACCATGTCTTCAAAACATTATTATATGATGAAGTAATGTAATCCTTAGTATCTTGCTAATAGAACTGCACTGTACATGTAGAATTCCTTCAGACAGTTGTAGTGGTCCTAGTACCATTGATAAAAACACAGTCTTTTTAATTTGAGAATAGTTTAATGCTATGGACTTAAGATTTTTCTGTTGAGTCATTCTGTGTAAAAATGGCTTACAACTGTAAACATCTGTGTGTGAGAAATTATCTCACATTAAGGAAAAACAGTTTCCTATTTCCAGGCCTCACCCTTCATTTCATAGAGGGAAATTCCTAAATTTTATTTAGCTTCAGATTTCTGGTCTTTCACTTTGTAAAAGTGTTTCTTTAGAGCAGTCATCAGAGACTAAAAAAACCTGCACACGCTGTAAAATAAAGCTCTAGCACAAAAAGACTAAAAACTATAACCTTCCCCTTCATATGTGTTACTTTAGTTTTACTCTATTGAGTTCAGCAGATGTCCCAAAAAACAACTCTAACAACTTCAAATTCCTAGGTCAGCCCTCGCCTGCTATGGTAGCATAAACTCAGGTTTCTGCACATTATACATTAACTACAATGACACTAGAATGTTTCATAAAAAAATAAACATGACAAACTTCAGATGCATTGCTTTTAAACCTTATGCATTTTCTCTATATCTTCACTTAAAGGCCACGTGTCTGAAAAATAAGTCAACAAGGCCGGCTTCATATTTCTCATGTAAAAAGGTTGCAATTAAACTTCCTGTTAATATAACAGTATTTACTGTAGATAATGGAACTTTAAAAATAAGATATTAATGCTGTCTTAGAAAAATTACAAGACAGTAATGTACAGCTCTGTAACCTTTCGATTCTTTGGTACTGAACAGCCAAAATATAATGAAAGCATTTATCTGTATTACRGATTACACATGCTATAGCTTTTGATATAGCCTGAAGTAATAATAAAAAACTACAAATTCATATAGTAAAGGGTACTTACCTCCTTCTCCATAAAACAAGAGKCCATTATAAAATTTAGTTTCCGCCTAATAACAAACGCAGAAATTTGTTTTTTAATAAACAATATATAATAAACAATATATACAGTCATGGTACATAAATTTAGACATTGCTTCTTTTTTTGTTATCACGACAAACATCTATCTCTGTAGAACAAATCTACAGAGCCACTTGTAAATCAAACATTTTAACACAGTAATAAAAGACAGCTGAATTTACCTCATACTTTAATTTCTTGATCTCACAGCAAAGGGCTGCATAAACAGTTATTACTTTGTTCAGAACCTAGACCCAAAGAAAAAAGAAAACACAGTTTACAAGACAAGGCAAGTAAATGCCTTACATAACATTTACCACATTTAGAGGGCTTTGTTTTAGCTAAAATAACCACAGCCATCTTTTATATTTAAGTATAAAGCACCTGCCTTGTTTTCTGTCTTTATGAGCTCCAACAGAGAAGACTGTTCATATGGCAAAAGCTGAAAAATATTTTAAATACTTATCAGTCAAACAAACAAAAATTTAGAAAATAATTGTCAAAAATACATTTATCCAGTTAGGTAAGTTGKTTTTTTTTTCCCCAGTTTAATCTCAAATGAGGTCAGTAACACAGGGCCATAACTGTGCAATAATGACAACATATGCAGAAGAAAGCTTCATTTTTTGCATATATAGGGAAATACTCTCCTTTTCCCTGATGGCAGAAAGAGGAGTAACTAGATATACTATACAGTATTCATGGTAATTTACTTACAGAAATTGTAAAGCAAAAGCATGGTCATTCTGAAGTATGCAGAAAAGAGTTCAGGAAACATAAAACCTAGACTTAGTAAAACCCAGGAAATATGGAACATGGTGTGYATCTGCACACAGGCACTGAAATTTTGTACGTGAATCAGACATGAGACAGACAACCTCATACACATATAGCACTGCGGTGGCCCTGCACATAAGTTGAAAAGTTGGAGGAATGTTTAGACCTGCTTTATCTTCTGGATAGACAAGTCCCATATGGGAACAAAAGCAAAAAGCGCTTTTGAGTAATGTCTGCAAGTGAAGAAAAACAAAACAGAACAAACAAAAAGTACTCCACAGAGGATGGGAAGTTTCTGACCCTGGAAATAACCACCTCTGAAGGGCAGACAATATTGTGCACTTTTCTTTTATAAAAATGAATAAACAAATAAAATCAAGGCTATCAAATAATTAAAAATWCATATATGGTTCACTTTGCAGTTATACAACTAGTAAGGAGTTGTTTTGCAAACCAACAAAAATACATCACCCCAAAAAGCCCCAAGGAAGAAGTTTAAAGACATCAAGAATAGTAAATTAATTTAATTTTTACTGTCATCCAAAAGACAAGAAAAAAGAATAACATGAAAACTTCTCTAGTGCTAAGAACCAATGTATTAGTTATCTGATAATTAAAATTCTTTTAGATAAGTTTCTCAGACACAAAATCAAAATCTTAAGAACACATATGTACACAGCTTTTACTTCTCAGGTTTTGGAATCTCAGTAGGAAAGCAGGAATAAGGAACATAACAATTTCACTGCATATTAAATATATGAAGACCTTTAATGCAATGGGATCAAGACTGAAGTCCCAAACATCTCCAACTGAGTCATCCAAAGCATCTTCAATTCTCTTCAGCTGAGATGTATACTCCTCAAGAAACTTCCCATAATTCTTCAACTGCACTTCAGCGTGGATTTCTGAGAATCAATAACATTTGCATAGTTTTAGAGAAAGCTCAGTAAAATGCAATATTCTAAAATTAATTGTAAAATATTTAATCTCTTCCCATTTAGTTTGCAGTATTATAATCTTTCTTCTGCTTTCATACTATTTTGGTTATACAGGTTAATCAGTGTAATAAAGTTCTTACTTACTTAAAAATACCATAAAACACCATGTCATCTTAAAAGAGATTCAAGTCTTATTTGGTAAGAAAACCAAACACATAAGTTTACAGGAATAATTTTTTTTTTTTTAACTTGCATGCATCTTCACACTGGGATCTTAACAAAACTATCACATCAAGATGCTGCACAACGAAACGCCTGGACAATCAAAACACAGCAGCTAATTATCTTAAAAGAAAAAAAAATAGAGACCATAAGTAAGCTGAATAATTAAGTTTCCCTAAACAGAATGTCAACCGTGCAGGCAGAGTTCTTTTAATGCAGGTAGCGGCATTGCTCTTCTCATGTTTCACTGAGTAGGCTGCTCTGGAAAGTTTAAAAACTTAGCTGAGCACAAGGTTAAGCAAGCAGAAGAAAACAACTCAAGTTGCCAGTAAGTCAAATGATGGTTAGTGGTTCCTCTGGAGGAAGAACACTGACGAATCAGTTGCTCCTCAGACATTTTTTGGAGGAAGAGAAGATATTTGACTGAGACCCTTCACTAGCTATAATGGGAAGAAATGATGAGGATACACAAATAGGCAAAGATGAGAAGCGACATGTACAGCAAGGCTGAGATTAAGGAGAAATGTCTGCACTGAAGGGTAAGCATTCCTGAACTCTAAAATTCTACTTTGAAGCCAGCAGCAGTGCCAACCACAAGGGCACAGGGATTGTAACAAAGCATCCACCCTAATTGCTTCATGGGGAACATCAGATTCTACCTGCACCAGCAGCCCAGACACAGGCACACTTATTGCTGAAACAAGGAGACTAAATGCCTCATTAGGAGCAAGAAGCAAGCGAAGAAAAAGCTCTCCATCAGCAGTATGTGCTCAAAAGCACCAATGTGCAGTCCTTGTGGTGCAGCATCCTGTTAGTCTATATCATCCAATTCATCTCTCCTCCCAGACTCCTCGGAGGGCAATTCCGACGCATCTTCTGGAAGCGTGGCTACAGAAAACTAGTAAATCATTGATGGGTGCTACTCGGGGCCCTGCAGGATGCAGTTTAACTACTCATTATGTCAGCTTCAGGACTTTAGTGTTAGAAAACTCAATTCTGTTGAGGATGCAGCCTTACAGAGGCATGCTGCAGTGCTCYGCAGCTCCTCCCCTCACAAAAATAAAGACTAGCTAAGAACAGAGAAACCAAAATGGATATTAGGGCTTTATAAAAGGAACAGGAGAGTTACGGGACCATTGAGGAGGAGCAATTGGGCGCTCCTCTCCAAAYCGACGACCAGCGGAGCAAGCGGCATCGCTCCAGCCAAGCTGTAGGGCAGCACCCTGCGAGACACCCAGGTCCTGCCGCCCTTCCCTGCAGCCCAGTGCGGATGTGAAGAGCAGTGCTCCTGCTCAGCACAGCTGCCGTCTCCAAGCAAGCACACAGAATAAGAGACACGTGTGAATAACTTCTCACAGAGAGACAAGGGCAGGAAAGCAGCTGGCCACCCATATGCAGGCCAAGTTGAACTTGCATAACACGACTGGGAGGTAGAGCAACTGTTCACAGACACGCAGAAAATCTTTTCCAAACTGAACTAGACCATAGAGAAACACAGAATGCAGGAGTGGGCTCTTCCTTCCAAAGAGCAGGCAAGTCCTTCTTCATACAACATGATGAATTTGCAAAAAGTTTGATTTAGTTCCTTCCCAAGTGATGAGGCATCACAGTTGGACGACACAAGGTACCTACCAAGCTATGCAGATTTCCCAACTTCAGCTTATTTTATAAAATTGGTAATGCCAATATTCAGTGAATGTACTGTCACAGCAAGATTCACGAATGTTATGCCTATATACATCAAAGCAGGAATCCAACAAACTGGACTTGCATTGTACCTTCTTTCCCAATTTAGAGCGTAACTGCTAACAATACGGGTCTCAGTCACTGGATGTTCTCTGGCTCTGCCCTTAGAAGTTGCACACTGTTCTCAACAAAAGACCAGCCTGTTTGCTCCCTGTCAGATGGCTGTAAGGGAGCATATTATGTCACATGAAGTTCTCTACGTGCACTTGGCATCACTGCAAAGCTGCATTCCAGCAAACTCTACGTTTTGCAATTCACAGCTAAAGAACAAGTAAGCTCGGTACAGTTTCGGTTTCCACCAAGAGCCGGTTAAAGCGGGTATGGCATAAACCGTATCGCCCCTTAGACGAGGTGTATGCGAAACTGCTGGCCCCGATGGGCACACTGGGAGCGCAGCAGCCGGAGCCGTGACGCTGGCGCCGGACAACGCACAGCGCCCGTCGGATGCGCGTGGCGCGGCGTGGCCGCTGCACACGCTGCCGGGGTGCAAACTGGGTCACCTCTACACACCGAGGAAAACGTGGAGTCTGACAGGCACGGAAACCTGCTGACAAGAGTTACACCTCACGTGGTCTCCTTTATTTATTTGTTAAGGTGAAATTGCAAGCGACTGCCCAAGGCCAGTAACTTATCCAGGGTCCTTTTTGTGGCCAACTGGAGTGGGGGGGGGGGTGTAACATTTTGGGGGGCCACTGGATATTTTCGTGGGTGGGGGGGAGCAAGGGCACCCCATTCCCAACCGCCGCCGAGGAGGGTCGCACGGCTGCGCCTCGCAGCCGGGGGGCACCCCCGGGGGCAGAAAGGAGGCGGGGGGGGGGGCACGGCCGCTCCCCCAATATCTGCGGGGAGGCGGCGAGAAAAGAAAAATAGTACTTGTGTGTATATATATATATATATATATATAATGTATATATATACACATGTATATATGCACGTAAAGGAAAGGTCACCGCCACCCCCCGCCAGCAGCGGGCCCTGCGGGGCAGCCGCCGCTGGGGCGGCTCTGTCGGGCAGGGGGGAGCCCGACCCCGCTCAGCTCCCCCGGCCGCTGCTTCCTCCTCCTCCTCCTCTTCCTCCCCCTCCTCCGCCCTGCCGCTTCCCCCCGCCCCCACCCCACGGCCACCGCGGCGGCCGTTACCGGCCGGCGCGGCCGCGCGCTCACTCTGCGAGCCGTCGTCGAGGCGGTCGAACTCCCAGTCCGGGGAGAGGGTCTCCAGCGCCATGGCCCCGGCCGCCCGCCCGGCGGATCCCCCTCCCCTGCCGCCGCCGCTCCGCTCCTGACTCAGACACACGGGACTTCCTGCCCCGCTGCCGCGCCGCACGCCGGGAAATGGAGTCCGGCCGCGGGGGCGGCTGGCGCCGGCCCAGGGCGACACCAGCCCGAGGCGGAAGGCTCCAGATCCGCCCTGCACATGGAGACGTGTGAAC